TTTACAATCAAATGTATGATTTATGTGGATAATTATTTAAACAAAAGGAATACTATTATTTAAAATACAAACACATTTCGTAACTGTTATGTAATTAGGTTTGCCTACTTTATTTTCAGTATAGTGTATCGTTTTCCTTCGTTTCCGTGTGGTAATGGAGTGGGTTACAATACAATGATGTCGTTAGTTAAATCAAGTCTAAACAGAATAAATTTATTACATTGTCGGTTAGTTTTTTCATTGACAAGGAAATATGGAATTATTGCATTGCTGTATAATTAGAGAGAATATAAAAATGTACACAATGTCATAAAATGTCATTGGAACTTGTTTCCTTAATATAATTAAATAAATTTTGTTGCACACAATCGTGCGTGAATAGATACACCCAGTTAGCAAAAGTAATAAAATAAATCACACATAATGATCAGAGTGGATGAAATTCATCTCGAAATAAAATGCCCTATACCGAGTTACCAGACACGGAGTAAATAGGCTAAATCTTTGTCTTATGGGACCCATGCTGAGTAGTGATGCGATATGACGATAGTGATATCGCATCGCATTGTCATGAGGGCGATGGTGGTTATTTTTATTAATACATTTTTAATCTGTTTAAGTAAATTTACGGATTAAAACCTGTTACCTATAATGTGCTTTCCCAGTTCGGAAACGTCGGTTTCTGGTCGTCGAAAGCTGTAGCACTGCTATTTATATCGCGCCAATCAAGGTTAGTTACAAAGATCATGACTCAACTGAAAACCCCTTTCAAGTATTTCAGTTGCACTTGTCGCGTATGAGTTCACTAAGTTTCCTTGGACGTATCTTAGAAAAGAGTAGCAAAAGGAACTGAAATGAGTTAAATAAAACATAATGAAGGATTCCTAATTACTATATTTACGATTCGCTACTTTGTCTGCATTATATTAATATGACATGTGCGACTAGATGATAATAATATTTGAGTTCCTATAACTGGTTGTTCGTAGTTATAATTACCTATATATAAAATTTTATAGTCGATTTCTAGAATTAATTGTCCCTACACTTACTCGTATATATGTTCTTTTAACGGTTGCAGTGGTCTAGTGGTTTAACGCACCTCCTTCCTTCCTATGGTTGTACGCTATAGATTTTTGCGCTATACAAACATTTATATACAAGAATTTAATTGTATTAGACCATTACAATTAAATTACATATACATATTTACAAAAAATATTTGTTTTAATCGTTATCCACAGTTTAAGCTCTGCTTAGTTTGGGATTAGGTTAATTTAATTAAATATTTAATATAGATATCATGTTTATAATAGATATTGATAATAGATCACAAGATTATTATACTTGCACTATAGGTGTAGGTAACTAGTTTACTTTAGTACCACATAGCTATTCTACTGAAAAAGAAAGTATACACCATACAACAATGTCGAAACTGATCCATGTCCCTACTTATTCATTGTCTACTGATACCCAGTATAGAGCTGAAACAGATGTTGTAACAGGAAACTAATAATAGCGTAGGTAATTCCAAACAAAAAAGATTCTGCGCTTAAATAGCTCTTATGATTTTTATCTTCGCAAAATGAACTTGTTTTTTCTGAACTACGTATACATTCATTGTTAATTTTTCTGGTGAGTAGTACTGAAATAGTGTTCTCGGCTGAGCTATATTTATGTATACTAGGGGGGCATGGGCATGGGCATAGACGACGTTGTAATCAGGTCACTTAAAATATTGTAATGAATTCACTTGGAATTAATAAAGATAAGATCAAATTTTTTTTGTATGAACTGGTAGTTCACCAAACGGTGAACTATCAGAAATGGATATAATTATATGGCGTCTATTACTATAAAATCTTTTCCTATAGATAACTGAACGGTTACGTATTGTATAATAAAATGATACTGGCCACAGATTATATTTCCTGATAAAGCCGGGCAGTCAAATTGCGCTGTGATTAGGTACATACATACTTATCTGACATTCTGAACAAATTTTTTTACATTGATTTCAGTGGCTGACCACAGTAATTACCTACTGATAGGTGTTCTAGAGGCATGGTAGGCACTGATCGCTTGGTGTCCTACATCCTATTGCCGGTCGGGACAGAAAAGAGATAACTTTTTTAATTTGACTTTGATTAAATTTACGATTTTTTATTAATTTGTTATATTGACACTTATTATATTTACAAAACGGTTGTAAATATAATAAAGTGGTATTATTTACTGAATTAACTGATAAATATGAAATTATACGTTTCAGTGACACCTTTGAAGTTTCACATTGAAGGTTATACGTTATGTTCATTTAATTAAGGGATTAGGGAGACGTCATAGCGTCGGAGTGGCGTGACTGCCTCCTGCCGTTGCGCTGTTCGCCGGCAGCCTAGTGTGCGAACTCCGCATTGCCGCTAAATGGCTTCCATTTATAATGCGACTCGCAGGTGCTTCGTTACGAATTGTATATTTATAAATAACTAAATCATTCATTGGTGATATAAATGAAGATAATAAATGTTTGTATAACGACAGATATCTGTCGGCTATTGATATGCATTTCACAAACCAATGATCAGATTATATAAAACTTTCGTAGAGTTTTTTGGGGACGTTCAGATAGGAGAAGACGGAGACGAAGAGAATAACTAAGAACATAAAGGACTCAAAAATCTGTCTAAATAAAAATTAATAGAAAGTTTTATTTTTCATGAAACCTTTTGCTTTAGTGACCTACCATGCGCTGAGAACGTAGCTGCTTTACATCCTATTTGAACGCATGCCGAATACAATTTTTTTTTAAATATACTAATATTATCAAAATGGTATTCTAATTAATTATTTTCAACTCAAACAAGTTAAAACAACAACTTGCTCAGTGTTTTGTAGTTGGAACTGTTGACATAAAATAACAATTTATCAAAATTAACAATACTCCGTTAATGAATACTAAACATTTTGAAGGAAGGCGCGGCAGTTTTACTTGATTCTCCTACAATCAGCGAATTCAATGTGGTGCAAATGTTAATTTATTGACCATATTGGTCATCATAATAATTTATTTCGTTACAAGTAATGGAAATGTGATCTCTTTTAGCTCTAGTCAGTAGAGATGAAAATTACAACTCATAAAATAATATAAATTTTCAAAAAATTCATCATGTAGAAAATGTAATATATATATACAAACGTTCAGTACCTATACTTTTTTTTATAAATTATCAATTACTTTAGGTAGAAATTTAAAATGAAAATAAAAATCTTGTTTGATGTGCGTACAAAAATATATGGATTGACGTCGAATTGGCGTTTGGCGAATGGCGTTTTAACAATAAAATGCTTTCACTTCTTGGCCTTTTGACTAAGCTCCAAGTGAATAATAAAATATGTTAATTATTTAACTCTCATATATGAGCAAGCTGCTCACAAGTGTTATCTTGTACAGGAAAATGCAGTTTGGATCGATTCTCGATATATTCAACTGATACTCAAATCGGATTAGTGGTAAATAGGTAATAGCATACTAACATTATACCTAGCAGTTAGTATCATCGACTTTGAAACAAATTTCATTGTGTTGAAATGGCTTTGTGCATAAATACTCGCACTATATCAATATAAATATTATAATCACTCTATATTATTACTCATTGTTACATACTTGTCCTATACATATCATAAAATATAATAATTTTTCTCTTATTGCTTAGGAATAAGACTGCATTTCGTTGTACTTTTACCTAATTGAATGTTGTAACTTTCGCACCTGTTTAAACTGTAACGGCTAACAACTGCCAGTAATGGCTGGGTCAATAGTATTAAAATAGTTCTGAAGAGATCAAGATGTGCTCATGCAGTTTTATCCTATTGTTTAGTTGAATGGTAAAACATATTAAACATTGTCGCTAATATACCAAAATAACAAGGAATATCATACACACGATTGTATGACTTTTGTAAATATATCTACAATCAATATTTGAACTAAAGCATGTCATGTGTTCCAACGGTTTTTGTAGTCATCTGGTGTTGTTCACTTGTGAATTATTCAGTGTGTTACATTCAAGTTGATGGGAACAAACTTAATACAAGTTATGAATTGGACGATTTACCATACTGTTTTTAAAAAATATGTATTGTATGTACATATCTAACTATAGTTATAAGGGAAACATTGTAATCCTTTAAACACATGTCCTTTAAACCAGAGAGAATAAATATTAAATAACACACAATCTGTTACCTGCCGCTTTCGTCCCTGAGACGTCTGCGTATAAGGCATTGTATATATACAAATACATCGGTACAAGAGATGGAAAATTTAAAACGTAATTCTATATGCCTACTATAAGCCGCCTGACCAAGGGTATAATAAAATACTACAAAAATCTTGACTATTAAGAGACATGGCTAGCGGGATAATAATTGTTATGCGAAATATTGTAAATTATCTTCAATAAAAAATCGAGTTCATAAGTAAATTCTACTTTTTAATAAGAAACAATATATCTAAGTTGATGAATATATACAACCGTAATCGTATTCCGTAGGGCTTCTCGGTAATTTAGGTCTGTAGAGTAGGAACTTATTTGAGTTTACTCACCTGCCCTATTATTGTGAACAAATTAATTTGCTTAAACTTTATCCACCTTCTAATATTCATCTTCAGAGGATAAAGTTGTATGCCTGAGCACACAAAATTCAATTAAATGTACTTTGAACGTACTAAATAATTGTTCATTTTAGGTAGGTAGTTAGGTATATAGTTCAAAACAAAGTCGCCGCCGCTGTCGATTATGTCTTTTAAATTACGCAACGAATTTAAATGCAGTTTTAAGCAATAGATAGAGTAGTTCAAGAAAAGGTTTATATGTATAATACATGCGTTTTATAGTATAGAACGAGCCGAGATATTCAAAGATTTGTAATGCATTTTTGCGAACCCGAGACGGGTCACCAGTATACTATATTTGCTGTTATTTTCCCCGCAGATTTCTATGGCGCTATGCGAATGGCATGATTCGTTCGAAGCGGTGGGGCAGGCAGGATGCTACCGTCGCCCAGCTGTTTACGCGCCGTGCTCTCAAGTATCCCAACGCGCCATGTTTCATCGTTGTTGGAGATCGCACATGGACCTTCGGGGAGGTACGATCACATAAATTAATGACTTTATTTCAGAACTAATCTACATTAGCAACTATAGTTTCATATGTGTAGATTGTGTTGTATTGTAATGTATATTTTTTTCTTATGTAAAATAATGGAATGGTGGACCCGGTCAGATAGCCAGGTCAGTTAGCCCATCGTGGTAAATTCATTATGAATTTATGACGATGGTTTCCAGAGAGAACTATTGTAATATGGTACATTTATAGCAAAGGGGTTATTAGTCCACATTACTAACAATCCCCGTCACCTCTATAATGTATATTGTACTGCTTCTGATGGCACTTCGGACTTAATTACTAGCTCTATATAAACTCTAAATACTTCCACGTAACTTCAAGACATAGTCTTAGTACCTATTCGTATAAAGAAGTTGGTTTAGGCAACATTCTGCTACCATCGCATGGATTTGTTTGTGTTTACTATGTGACTTTCACTAGTTATCATTAGCTGAGCCGGTTTTTGTGAGGAACAAAAACGAGGAATATATATATGAATCAATTTCTCGGTCTATACCAATATGGTACAATCACCTTCAAAAAGATCATCCAGGATCATATTGTTCTGACTTGTTCTATTAAATTGTCCTGAAAGCAGTCAAATGTATAACATATGTATATGTATAACACTCCCTCCGTACTATTTTAGTATGAAATGGCATGTCTACTTGTTACCTTTTCACTACTGAACGGTTTAATGACATTTGACGTGAAAATAGATTGTATCTCGAGGACGAACATAAGACGTCTTATAAGCTACAAAGGCAAACAAAGTTGCGGGTAACTACTAGTCTTAAATAGGATGACGCCGTATTATTTATTCATTGTATTTTATTAATATTAGCACAGACATTATCTGTATTTAAATATATACTTATGAAGTTATTAAACTTTATTGATTAAATATTTCCATTATGAAACTCTTTCAGTCACGCGATACACGCTATATTTGTTTACACACGTTAGGTATATTATAAAATGTATCCACTCAACTACCTATCACTAATAATATGACAAGAGGATATATATAATGTTTGTTACTCAAGGATAAATACCTGGATGGTACTTATATGATATAAACAATTTACTAGTTAAATATATGTAGCTTCTTATTTTAAACAAGTAAAGCATAATGAATATTTTATTGTAGACACAGATAAAAAAAATTAAATCAATATTACTCTGAGCGCAAGAGATATTACAAATTTAAAAAAAGTAAGTCGTCGATCATTGTCTACTGTATTGTCTTCTCGAAACTTTTTACTTAATATATTGTGTATTGAATGTGATAATAATAACGACAAAACAATCGTGATGAAATTGCTAATAGTTGGTATCACATTAATTATGCATTCACGATACAGTGCCAGGAGAGGTTAGGTGCAGAGTCACTACGCAAGCGGTCAATTTATGACTGGTCACTGACTTATCTGAATATTTATCTTACATCCGTAATTTAATAGCTTATTGCAAAGTAACATATTAATTATATGTTACCAACTAAGTTACAGTTGTGGTCATAGAACTTTCTGGTCATAGAGGATTTTTAATATGGTGATTTCGTATTTCAAGAGTTCCGCCAAGCATATATATTTGATGTTATATTATTATGATGTGCTAGGACTGAGGTTATCACAGAATATATATCTAACTATAGTGGTCATTTCCTTATGTATTCGCTACAATAACTTACCTAACTTCAAGCTCATTCTATATCCTCCACTGGTTCCCCGTCAATGTATAAGAACCGTTGGCATTGTTGGATATTACATTCCATATTCATCCATAAAAAGGGTACTAATTATACCGTGTTTTCAAATTTACAACGGTGATTTCAATTATGTATTATTTGAAAAATAAAAAATAATAATTTGTCGCTTGCCATATTTGATTACAACGTGAAAGAGAGCGAGCTTGCCGCTGACTCTCGGATTATTTTGATTTGGATATCTTTGTCTCCACCGGAGAGTCTGTCAGAAGTTCGCCGTCCGTCCGTTAGTTATCTTATTCGAATCTGAGGTTAAGAGTCCCCAAGTAAATTATAAGATAAAACAGTCTGGAAACCTGCACTATACCTACCAATTAATTGATTACTTATTGTTTGCTCTATGATTAATTGAAGTTATATTTAGGCGAGTAGGTAATTTGGTACTATAACATAAATGAATTAGAATCAATATTTTCATAACATAGCGGACTCGATTAGCGGATTACAAAGTCTATTTTAAAGGATATAAACATGCGTAATTTAAAATTATTCGGCCAATGCTTTACTAACGATTCTTAGATCTACCATATATATATTCTTAGATCTGCACATATATAAGCACCAATGACGCAACAGCACGTCAGAACTGTTTTATAGCTTTTGTACTATAAAGTGGGCGTTGCAACGATGTAAATATTTAAATTATATATTTTTTTATAATATGTAGAATTTCAAAGGAATTGAAAGTATAATCGACGAAAAGTTTCAAACTTTGTCTATGTTCATGAAGACAGTGACAGAAATAATAGGTAGTGCCAATCATGATTGTTCCTTACAATCTAGTTTTATGGCAGACATAGACTCCGAAATTAGTAAACAATGTTAACAAACTGGCTTAAAAGAAACGAATTTCAGTAAGAATGTAAGTTCATTGCCAGTATTTCTCAGTTATATCTATAGACTGAACTAGAACTTCATAAACGACTAAAATGTCCTATATGAACGCGTTAGACGCTCATATATAAGAAAGTATAAAATATAATTAGTCTAAAATAGATATAGATAGAGATCTCTCTCTAGAGAGACAGAGAGAGAGAGAGTGTGTGTGGTCTTTAGACTCTATTCTCTTATCGTAAACAGTACCTGGCTGGACTCTACAAGGTTAACAATTTTACAGATGGCGGCAAAATCGAATCAAGTTTCAAGAGTTATGCAGGAGCAGTTAGGGCTGAAGCGAGGTGATGTAGTGTGCGTGTTTATGCCCAACTGCGCCGAGTACGTGTGGACATGGCTCGGCATGGCGAAGGTGGGCGCTGTGTCCGCGCTCATCAACAGCAACCTGAGGCACAAGCCCCTGCTGCACTGCGTACAAGTAGCTAAAGCGAAAGCGGTCATCTATTCCGATCAACTCTCTGAAGGTATATACTTAAATTACTGTATATTGTTATAGCTACACTTCCTATTATCTACATTAATTATACAGGTTATACTAAATTTATGTCTATTAAATTAGATTTGATTCTCAATGATTTTAAGGGCTATGTAGATAGAAAGACGTCTTTTTAATGTTAAATATAATATTAAAACAGTTTGTCTACCACTCACAACTATAAGTACGTATATAATGTGTACCAATATCCCAATAAAACAGCTCTACCTTCTATTTGTCCATAGCCATCGAAGAGATCCGCTCGCAACTCTCTCCAGATCTGAAGCTGTTCCAATTGTATGGACAATGCAAGCCTGGTGTTATAGATCTTGGTGCTGAAATGGAGAAACATCCCCCCGAATATCCGATTGTAACCGAAAAGCTACATTATAAAGACACGCTGCTGTACATATACACATCTGGAACTACTGGAATGCCCAAAGCAGCTGTATTACCAAATTCTAAGTGCGTAGCTGTATTAATTATCTCTGATGTTAATAATAGTAGTGAAGTTTCATTAAATTATTAATCTATTCAAACATTGTGTCGGCCACCAAGATTGGTAACATCATGGAATAACTGTAGTCGTCACTCATTCAATTTGTTTGCACATTTTTTGTTTATTTATTTTACAGGTTTTTATATATTATATACAAAATTAGGTACATTCGCAGCGTAGAGTTAAAATTATTCTGAATTTTGAGAAAATTGGAACCTGTAGTGTAGACTACCACATCTTCGTCCCCATTTCGTCCTCTTTTTTGCACTAAGGTGCAAAATATTCTCACAGCACCTTTAGTGTAGGTATAATTAGTTAATGGTAGGTAGTTCTTTATATGTCAATGTCAAATCGATCGATAATAGAATTATTGAAAGCCGATCAATGGCGGCTTATATTTATACAATGTGAGCACTGCTACGTCTATCTACTAAATTGATTTAAGTTACTACATATTCCATTACGTACTTCAATTTAAATTAAATTACTTGATACTGTCTATGGATATTGATCATCAGAGACCAAAATATGTTTGTACGAAATGTTGATGCAAACTAAAGTAGCTGAAATCGACGTGTAGTTGCTTTTCTTATAGATAACCTATAGGTAAATATAGAGTATCGTATTCGCAATAATCCTTTTGCATGCATCCACTATCACAATGAAACCTCCTAAGGCTAAAAGCATAAAAATACTTTATTTAACATATCTACTGTTTATTTCAGGTACCTGTTGGTAGTGGTGGCTACCGTCCACTTGTTAGGCCTCAAGTCCTCAGACCGAATGTACAACGCTCTACCCCTGTACCACACGGCCGGCGGGCTGGTGGGCACCGGGGCGGCCCTCGTTGACGGCATACCGTCGGTGTTGCGTGCCAAGTTCTCCGCCTCTAATTATTGGACGGACTGCATCAAATATGAATGCACGGTATATATTTAATATAATTACAATAGCTACCGGATATGGCGACATCGAAGGTACAAAAATGGACGCGCTATATCCGATTGTTATTATAAGTAATTCATATATAGATTTAGACTGTAATTGACATTTAGGGGAAACAATTGATTCGACGTTGTAAACGATGTCGTCATATCCGGCTTCTACTGTTAAACACTTAATACTTTAATTAGAAACAATCCTAAATGTTACAAGAAAACTTTATACATCAGTGAAAATCACATAATACCGTATAGCGATTAGCATGCACCAAAGCATAAACATACAAAAAGAAGGCTCCGTACAACTTGTTATTTTAATAAAGAAACTGATACAGATAGAAATAAAATGGCAATTTTATACTTTAAAGATTTATATGATGATTTTAGGTACCTAAGATTGAAGAGGGCAACAAACTTAATATAATAAAACATCCTCTATAATGACGCTGGTGATAACATAGTCATAACATTGATAGCAACATTTAATACATTGTAACGATGTTGTTTAATGCGCATTAGCGGCAATACTGTTTGGATATACTTAATCAGACAATAGCAAAATCAAGTAAAGTGGTTATTCATATGATAAAGTATGAGATTACTATATGTAAACAGATGTAAACCCCCATTATTCCATATTATCTAATGGGCACGGGTTTCTCGGGCCTACTTTGTACCTACGTCGTTGGTTTATCTGGAATGGTGCTAATGAAATTACAGTTACCTTTGTCCTTCCTTGGGAACGGCAACGTAAGGCCGTTACAAATTAATTTTTCTAATGTGATTCATGTTCATAGGGGACGCGATACTTAATACTAATAACTCAATTGGACCGTCAGCATTTTGCCAGTTATATAAATAATAGTAATTTTGGTATCTCTTCGATGATTTTTTAGATCTATATCTTCATTAAAAAAATTTTTTTTAATTCCTTTCGTCAGTTTAATCAGACGTGTAGTTAACAAACTGACATTCCGTCAAACTTTCACATTTATGATATTATTATGGCTTAGTATTATTATAACATTGATGATTATATGTTTACTTAAACCTATATCTTTGTAGTGTCATTTAATCTTGGCTTATTCCAAAGGTCGATAGAAAGTGAGAGTAATTTTATCATTATTGACTTTGTTGCGAACGCAACACTTGATTTGTCGTAGGTATTATATATTTATATATAATGTTTATTATATGTAGACGAGGTAGTGAGAGCCATTATCAACTATCAAAACTGTAGCGAACTGAACCGGGTGTTATCCCCACACTACACCCTATCAATATTACCACTACAATTTTGATAGTTGATAATTGTCTTAATATGTCCACGTTTTGCTAGGAACCTATTAGGTAATGTTAGTGGGATTTATTTGCTGGGACTCAAGTACTAAGAGCGGACATATATCTATTTGAAGAATTTTTTAATTGACAGACAAGCTACTTTTGGTTTAAACTGGCTAACTTCGAAATGGTATTTTCAAACTTTCTGAGTCGGATTATCTCATTACTAATTTAATTACCTAATTAAAATGCTAGATTTAGATTCTATGGCTGTAGTAAATGGTTGTAATCACTATATTGCCAACTTACTTCGTAGATATTGGACCACTACTATTTTTGCAAAACAGCCGATTATTAAACCCACCCGGCCATGAGGTATCGATCTCTCGGCTCTGGCGTGTATTGGCTAGTTGTACGACTAACGTGGTGTGGTTAATTGACCTTCTGGATATCGTGCGGCACATACGAGTATACGTCACGCTTTTACGGCCTATTGAATTTTATGCGTAGATATTTCTCTACTTAGAAAACATGTTGTTTCTAGTACCTGTGCATTGTTGCGGTAATTCATACAAAAATCTTGACTTCAAATGCAGTGAACTAATTCATAATTATCAAGTAACGGTTCGTTCCGAATCACTCGGTTGGAACAATAATACACATAATATATGTAATGTTACGAATTACGATGTATCATAATATACAGAAATGTTCTAATAAAAATACCTAGAGGATAGTTAGATCTGTAAAAAAAAAATTGCTTCATGCGTCTAAAGAACTTGTAATACCTATAGGTGTTGTGTTTTATAATAATTAGGTAAATTAGTTAAACATAATGAACTGATAGATACTAAGTAGTTTTATTGTTTGAAATAAGATTCTAAAAATCAATATACAAATAATAAGATATTGATAGCGCAGAACATAGTTGAACTTAGATCATTGAACATCTCTTATTTCGTTTACTTTGAAAAGCACCTGTCTCGGTTTTTTTTTATGGATCTTAATGTTATTGTCAGGTGGCACAATACATCGGCGAAATGTGCCGGTACCTGCTGGCGCAGCCGCTGCGCCCCACCGACGCTCTACACCGGGTTCGCATCATGGTCGGCAACGGCATGCGACCCGCGATTTGGCAGGAAATCGTTGACAGGTAAGCAATAAGTAGCAAAAAAAATTAAGGTGATATAATCTGCCAGTATTAGAATCTACAGATATTCCAGATATGTGTCCCAAAATCAACCCATGTGTACCAAGAATGTAGAGAACAATTGAATAATATACTTTTATACAGAATGAAAAACAATTAGTACCTAATTAGTTTTTACAATCTCCTTTTTGAAACATAAGGTATGTTTTAAAAAGGAACTTTAATAATACAAAAAATACTGAAAAAATTACTGTGCATTTATGAATGTAATGTACTGTTATGAAAAATCTGTTTGGGATTAACACGGGAGAGAAAGTCTATAACGTGTGAAGTGAATAATTTAATGTTGTTTAGATTAAACAAGATAGTTTAGCGTTACGAATTCTAAATTGAGAATCTGATACTAATTCAGAGCATCGCTCTTCTCGAAAATTCAATAAAAAATATCGTTGACACCGGTCCCGTATTTAAATTAAGTAAAATTAAAATGTTACAATTTCTTTGTTCAAAGGTTTAAAGTGCCACAAATAAACGAGATTTATGGCGCCACAGAAGGCAACGCTAATATCAGTAAGTACCTAACTTCTTATCAGTTGTTGTACACATTGTTGCACACATTTATACACTATTATGTATGTATATATACAAGTAAACATTAATTATAACTCAATTAATATGATACTCATATAATTATTCACAGAGATAAATAGTAGACTTTGTATTCGTCCTTAGTAACTGTGACCAGATAAATAGTTGACACAATAACTCCGGGTGGATTTGTGAGGTCAAACAATGTAACCTTTTGATTATAATGAGGATATGTCCTAATAATATTATAATTTATAATATGATAGGTAGCTTTGAGGTACCTACTGTCATACACTATTTTTGTTAAATATATTTTTACGCGAATAGTTAGTTACACCTTACCCAGTTACTCTAAAACAACTAGATATTATTATAACTGGAGCGTAAAATTGTATGTTTACAATGTACTGTCAGATAACAGGAATGTGCATTAAAACAATATGTCTAATATAAAAACTCGGTTAATTAAACGTGTGACAAAAACATAGGTAAACAGAGGTAGAGGTATTATTTTGGAAATTTAATTTGTATCACTAAATACCCAATAACACTGTAAGTCAAAATTATACGGAACGCTTTGTTTCCATTTCCACATACAGTAGTGAATGAGTAGCGAATGTTTATCTACACATATCTAAGTTCAAGTTTATCTAACCCATATCAGACGGCATTTTATTGAATACTAGTTGTTACACGCCCTTCGTCTGCCTTTTTTTAGTAAAGAAATATAAACTATTTCTTTTCTTGTCCTGAAAAAGATATTTTTAAATTACTTTTTTCCAATAGTATGCACAAACGTTATGTTTTGTCTTAATGTAGGTACATATTATAGTAATATGTATTTTTTAAATATAACATATATTACTTTATTATGTTTTTTATGTATTTTAGATAAAAGAGTTAGACAATTTCGTCTTACTAATATTAGATGCCTGTATATACGTATATTATTTTTTATTTCCACAGTAAATGTGGATAACACAGTCGGTGCAGTGGGTTTCTTACCAAAGTTGGTGCCCACAAGTCTGCACCCTATCGCCCTGGTGCGCACCGATGAGCAAGGCTCTTTAGTGCGAGGACCTAATGGATACTGCATTCGCTGTTTGCCAAGTGAGTATGATCATTATTTTCATTGATTTATGGGTCCAATTAGTTTGAACACTAAAGATGTAGCTGCACTATGTCACCAGCTCTACAATACATTTACTTTTGCATCTTCGTTTTCTAACAAAAAATAAGGTATATCCGTCCTCATAATACAAACGTTAAAAAAAATTAAGACTCCGTCAGCGGCTTAGTCGTGAAAAGGCAACAAACAGACAGATACACAAACTTACACATTTGTAATGTTTGTATGAATAACGAATAGACAGAACAATTACATCAAACCGAAATAGCGTTACCTGCCCTCAGTAAGGTACTAAAGGCAGGTAATTTTTAACCTTAACTACACAGATCATTTTTTTTTTGTTTATATAATTGCTTTGAAATTGATTTTACTTACGGACTTACATTTAATTTTCTCTAAATAGAATAATTAAAGTGTGTATGTATACACGTTACAAGTTGAAACGAAAAGCTGATAGTCTGATTAATAATATTAATGACTCTTTATAACGCACACATAAACAAAGAACAATATGTACAATGAAAAAGAAATGAATATGTCCGGATATATCTGGATATATACCTACTTATGATAACGTTGAATTAAACAAATATGTGAATGCACGAAATATATGTTCACAGTGGAATATGATTTTTTCAGACGAGCCCGGCATGTTCATCGGTTTAATCGCACAGGGGAATGCCTCCAGAGAGTACTACGGATATGTTGACAAGGTATGCATAGAAATTTCATTATGTATACCTTACCCGATAATTTTGTATACCCGGAAAAAATATCGAATGACGACACGATTCGATTAATATTAAATTTCTTAATTTGTTGTTTTTTTTTACTTAATAATTAATTTAAATATAAAAATTAGACTTTTCCGTATAGCTATGGTATGATTTTCAACATTTATGTATAAGTTCACTCTACGTTTTGAATAATACCTAGTAAGTTAGGTACACTTACATAGTGCAATATGTAGGTTGGAATATTTTACTGTAATTTGAGAGAAAATTGAATTAGCTTAGTATTAATTGCAATTCCAGTTAAATTACTTATAGTGCTTCTACTTCATATAGCGTATGTGCGGTACATTCGAATCTTTACATAGTATTAAATAAAGTCGCCGCCACTGTGTGTTCATTTATATCTTTTACATTACGCATCGCAATTATGTAGGTATATCTAATACATGCGTATAGTATGGAATGAGCCGATAAATTCAAACATTTATAATGAATGTGCGAAGCCGGGATGGGTCGTTAGTATTAAATATATATATGTAATATATATTCACCTAATTCTATAAAGAATTTTGAAAAGAATGGTTACGTATCTGTGTTTTTACAGTGTTTTTTCTCGATGCGTCTGATAACGGAATTAAATGATAACCAAAACCGCGGGTGAATCATTATAAAAAAAACATTTAAAGTGTTTATAAACCAGAAAAAACGTTGTTTCATATGCTCTCTCTGATAGCGTGAACCAGGATGTTTATTAAAACGAAATATTAAGACACCTAATGAGATATCTACTAGGAATATTATGAATAAATAGCACGAATTTCTTAAGTTTGTATCTATGTGAAGGTTAATCTTCGGAGCTATTGTCGCACTAAAATCTTGCATTATTTGAAAAAATCATTGTAATATTCAAGATGTGCGTATCTACTATCCGTTATATTAAACTAGCTACTCGCCCCGGCTTCGCACGGATGTACATGTATTATATATATAAACCTTCCTATAGAATCGCTCTATCTATTAAAAAAACAGCTTCAAAATCCGTTGCGTAGTTTTAAAGATTTAAGCATACATAGGGACAGACAGAGACGCGACTTTCTTTTATACTATGTAATGAAGTAAGAACTTAATAAATGTGCATAACAGAATAGATCCATTAGTTACATTATAATAGGCGTATTATAACAACTTGTGGATTTCTTTACCACATGATTATTATTGCGTCTAAAAGGAGATCTTCGTGTATAATAAGTAGATACCAATTGATGTCGGACAGATTTTTGTCTGCAAGTATAGATAAGATTATCTGCAATTGTAATATTGACATGCACACTGATATTATCAATATTCTGTCAGCAAATAGAAATTGATTTATTATCACACGCAATACGAATTTTCGATAATAGGTGATTCTTTTTTGTCAAATAAATATGGAAATTATTATATATGTAACTTATATACATAATATTTAAATTAATTTTAATTTATTATTATTATTAGATTGTAATTACTTACTTAGGGTTGGTGAGGTTAAAAATCAGGCGAACAAAATCGTAGTAGAAAGCTCACCTCAGAGTAGAAACACTTATATTCCCTCGTCGGCAGTGTTCATAAATTACAAGCAAATACCCGCAAATTCGTCTGCTTCTTTGTTTTAATAGAATAGGTAATAGTAATATTAATACTAAATAGTAGTAATAGTAATACCAAATTTGCAATGTGCGTTCATGTGATACACTCCATTATTAAGATCCTATCAGCCTTTTAGTCAACAGACAGATAATCTATTCAAAATCAAATAATATTGGACTTATGATGAATATATGTTTGTGCAGAGCGACAGTAACAAGAAGCTGGTCCGCGACGTGTTCTGCAAGGGTGACGCGGCATTCGTGAGCGGAGATATCCTGGTGGCGGACGAGCTGGGATATCTCTTCTTCAGAGACCGCACCGGAGACACGTACAAGTGGAAGGGAGAGAATGTAGCCACCGCCGAAGTTGAAGATGCTGTGGGGGCCGCGCTTGGGCAACGGGCTTGCGTCGTCTACGGTGTTTCAGTGAGTATTATTTTAATGTGGAAGTACTCGTAAAATCGTAGTAATATCTACAGTTTCTATACCTACAAAAATATATATTAAGGTTAAAGTTAGGTTTTATTAATAGCTTATTATTATAATATTCAATAGGTATATTATATTTGGTACAATAGAATAAAAATGAATAAGCTTCCGGCCCGCTCAATAGTATGAGTACCCCCCATTATTACTCATTACTATATTTAAAAAAATAGAGGGCAAGTATAAATTAACCTATCCTTATATTTTCCCTAAATGTCTTCAAGCGACACAAGCTTTAATGATGAAATAAAATGATAACACTTAATACCCTAGAATGAATTTTGATATTTAAATTTGAAATATTTTTACATGTGTGACACGAAGACTTATCTTAAGTTATTCTATATTTACAAAGTATAAAACAAAGTCGATGCCGCTCTCTACACGGTTTTATCTTTTAAATTACACATAATAATAATAATAATTTACACAAAATATGTGATAACCTAATATCCGTCCGTTTGATTTTTGATAATGTGAGAAACGTCGAATGTTCACTGATAAAACTAGATAACACTTATCGCACTTATATAGATCTTATATAGATACCTTCAGAACCTATCAAAATCTTATGATGTGATTTAAGTATGGAGTGTCGTAACGAACATGTCTTAATGATAATGAGCAAAAGAGAGAGATGATGGTAATGCTTTCATCATCTCTCTCTCTTCATCGGCCCCTTTTCGCGTTACCATTCATGAGGCCGAAGGTTTTGGTTACTATGTATTGTATATATTTTACCATTTAATTCATAATACATCTTACGAAGCAAGCTGCTTAGTTTGAGACCAGGCAGACGACTTTGTACAAAGTCTACATCGGTGAAAAGGTGATAGATATAAAATCATATAGAAAAATGTACCAGTTGAGTTTCTCCGTAGTTCTTCTCGACTGAAGCAATTATGTTATCTGTGACTGAAGTAACATGCCGAGCTGGAAGTATAGTGATAAAGTGTGCCGTAAGGATAGTGATAAAATATTTTATTTTTTAATTTTTGATAACAAAAATTACAGATCCCACTAACTGAGGGCCGCGCGGGAATGGCAGCCATCGCGGACCCAACGCGCTCGCTCGAACTACGGCGGCTGGCTCGCGATTTGGACGACTCGCTGCCGTCGTATGCGCGCCCGCTGTTCCTGCGGCTCATGAACGACATCGAAATTACAAGTGAGTTTACAAATTGAGTTGGTTATACATATAGAACAAGATTACCATATATTTATGTTACCTTACATGAAAAACATTACAGAAACCACAGTAACGATTGGCAACCCTCATGTGTTGCCATGCCTGAGAAGTAAATGAATATTATTATTCTATAGAATCAGGCAGATAGTAAATTACCTTATTCATTCTTCATCAGTAATTACCTCATTCGTCATACATCTTACTGCCAAGTATAGGTATATTCTTTATGCGCTAGAGAATCTTAACCTTTTAGAAGTTATTTTGCCTGAAATAAATAAATATTTAATTGTAAAAATATAGGAATTGTTTAATTGGCATAGCTGATAAGAGATATCTCTGATTCATTATCGATTGTGTGAACAGTGTGTCATTAGTAATTACTACGCAATACTAAATTATAACCAAATAGTAAGACATTTTAGGAGATGGCAATACTATAACCTAACGTGGATGTCAATGATGAATTCATTATAAATGAGCACTTTGTCTGCAGGTACATTCAAACTTAAGAAACTTCATTACCAAAAGGAGGGATTCGATCCGGATGTGATCAAGGAGCCGCTGTACTTCCGCTCGGGGGATGACTTCGTGCCCATCACTTCACAACTCTTCAACGATATTTGTAACGGAAGGGTCAAGCTATAAGCCACACCTGGCGACACTGTCAACTGTCCCGGCACCGCAATGTCACTTGTGTACGATCGTACAGTCAGCTTCATATAGACTATAGCAGTAGTCAACGGTGGTCAAAAACTATAGCAGTAGTCAACGGTGGTCAAAATTATTATGAATGTCACAAGTTCAATTTTGTGTATGTGGTCGGAAGACGACTTATTTTATTACCAAACAAAATATTAAGTGCTCTTTCTTTTTTATGTAACTGGTGATTTTTGATCTGAAGAAGTAGCTATATTATTCGTTACCTTCGATAATTTTAAATTATTTAATCCTATGAAATACAACAAAAGACCTCTCTGTTACCTAATTTATGAAGCTAACTGTACCAAACATTTCATATGCGTTATATACATTTTCCACAAGAGATATCGTAATTCCGTACGCAAATATTATTTCACAATATTATAATCTCAAATTCTTTGTATGGTATCATGCCTCCTTAAGAATCCGATCAGTCAAACCAATAAGCATTTATCTATATACGTATCTACAATGACATTTTTAAAAATTAATGAAGGCGGAGGTCCCTTTAGTCAAATTGAGATACCAAAGATACAATTAAAATGAGAGAAATACTGCCCCTGTGGCGTTAAGATAAGTAAGTTAATACCTATATATATTGGCTATTGAATTGAAGAAAAACACATGACGCTAATATGTATTAAGCAAAATTACATATACAAATAATGGTAGCAAAGGTCTGGGACCCGAATACAACGGCATGTAAAATATTATTTATACTGTTATTAAACATACTAGGTAATTGAAATTCGATTGTCGAAAAATCGCAGTTTCACTTTACTAAAACAAATTTGAAACATTTGTGTTGTGATATTTGTATGTTATTATTTTATGTACATTGCAAGTTATTAGCATAATATCCTAAATAACTCGTTTACGAGTTGGTAGTAAATTATACATAATTACATCACGAACTGTAGAAAAATACAATATCTGCACTGCTTAAAATATTATACCTATTCAATTATTGATATATTAAAAAATTAGATCAATATTATTCATGCCTACGTGAAATCTATATAATTTTGATTAAATCAATCTGATTAGGAGATAATACCTAATTGGTGTACGTTTGTCATATTGGTGCGGGGTAAATAATAAAGGTTGCAGGGTAGAGAAGGTTTACTACAGTAGATATGGCGTCGATGTTATGACAATAGATGTACGAAATGTCCGCATTCATAGTTAATATCTAGCAGCTTCTCGATAGTATAAGTACTTCATTAATTTACTGAACAGTTATCATCTCACTGGTATTGTACGGTTAGTTTTAAATTTGGGCGCCAATTTGAACATTAAAGCAATAATAATTCAATTATATACCTACATATAATGAACAAAATATCTCAAATACTATATTATGTAGATAAATTTATAGTAGATAGACAACATTCCACCATCTAGTCGTGTAAGATTTGTTTTCTGTCTTCGCTGTGCACTACGATTATGTTTTAAGTTGTTCTTGTTGAGTTGAGTTCCTATTGTGAATATTTTCTGTGAAGTGGTATTAGTTTTAGGCACTTCTTTTGCATGGAACCTATTAGTCTAGGTGGCGCCCTCTATTTATATGGCTGTGTCAAATGTATGTATACAGTTTATAGAGTTAGTAATCGCTTGTAGAAGGTAATAATTATATTATATATCAGGCGGTTCCACAAGCACATGTATGGGTTCCAATAATAATACCAATCCCTTTCTACTCAAGTCTTTAGACAATAAATGTCATAGATTACTTAGTAGCAGGATTTTATACACTTTTACATCCATTGCTAAAGTGTATAAGATTCATGTTTTAAAACACGGGAATATTAAAGATGAACATATATATTTGATAGAATTCTAGTGTAATAATATTAAATCATTTGATGCAATATAATAAAACACGATGGCGTCACGTAGCCTATAACCAGCGCCTTAACTCATTGGTAACGTTAACAACGATACTCTCAGATCTTTGTATCAATGAATTGACATCGCAAATAAGGTGAAGGTGATTCCATTTAGATTTGTGCCTTGTAACGAAACCTGTTGCACTATAGACTAGGTACATAGTACGCAGTTGAAAATTGCTCCTGAAAATTATAAATTATACTGATGTAAGTTGTAAATAAAGACATTACAATATATCAAAGCGTATTTTATTGATATTAAGAACCTTTTAGAATTATTCCCCAACATTCCGTAACAAGACGAAACCTCAAGAAAGGATTAATTATTTGCAGGTTAGCTCTGGAATGTAATTTTAATTTCAAATCAATACAGTTTTGTGTTAATTTTGAAACATTAAAATTAAACGGAATAATTTGATAACCGTTTGAACAAAAAATATGAGATTAATACGTTGCTAGTATATTACGGCCGCGATGCGTCTAGCAAACTGTCTTTCTTCAGATGGTGCCCGGTTCGATTCCTAGCATGGTACAAAACTATAAAAGTTTGTATTCATAAGTATTACTATCAGTCTGGGTGTTTTCTAAATACGTATGTATTTATTAATATGTAGGTAATCTTTGTTTAACCTGACCAACAGTAAATTAGAAAGTTAGTTTACATATACGGGCGACCTAAATTTAATCAGATACAAACAACGTAAAATGTAAAGTAGATCAGTCTAGGCAAGTAATAGCACGGAAAAGAGAATAAGTAGGTAAAATGATACAATTTTTTTTCGTATAATTAAATTTATTCCATCATTTCATTATTACAGTACACAAACAAAATAAATGTAACATTCAAATAAATATTCTAATAATTATCAACAGAATATGTTTTGAATTAAATAATAATACTGTCTAATAAGCAAAAATATTATTCCAACAAAAATAAAATTCTATAAGGTCGCTATAACATTGCATGTTATAGCGATGTAAAATCTTTATCTAAAAGCAATATAGGTATTTATCGAACAGGCTAAGACTAGATTCAATACACATTAGTCAGATCTCATAATTATCTACAAAAATATTACAACTGCCATCAAATTGACACTGACGCCGATAACTAACATTGTCATAGAAAAACATTTCACTCTGTGTGGTATATTTGAATTATGTTCTGAGATTGGATGGTTGTGTAGGAACATAATTAAAGTGGGATGTTATGGATTGATTCCCTCTTATGTTTCATACAAAGATATTGTGTACAAAATGTAGATATTATGTTCAAAATATTTATGAATTCTTGCATTTTTACTTCTTGTATAGGTACATCATGAAATTGTACCTTATATTAGATCCCGTCATCAATATAATAGAAAATATAAAAATATTGTAACAAATCAAAACATAATAATACATTCAAAAATATAAATTATACATACTACGAAAGTAAAGCAACAAATAGTTCAACAAAATACCCGTAGATAATTTCTGACTGAGAAAACAATGAAGTACTTAATTAAGTAGTAGTATTTAATCCCACCTAGGGACCGCTACCATTTCTTGTTGTAATCGGGTTTTAGTAATTCAGTTAGAAGTAACACCGTCTTGAAAAATAGCATATAAGAATAAGTAGAATCGAACCCATTCTTAAAAGTATTTGAATTAAATTTTTATGTATTTTTTACTTCGAGTATAATATAGTAGGGAACTAAGACAAGAATAGTCTTAAATAAATAGAAATTATTATTGATTCGCATTTGAATATTATTAATTGAAAGCGGTGTAACTTTTCAGTAATATAACGGGTTAATGTTATAACTGTAATAATTAAGTGGTAATAAGTTCACACTCTTTAAAATTGTTGTAACTTTGAACCATTAAAACATTGCATGAAAACATGCATCTTCGGTCCCTTAGTCAGCAATTTTACGTACATATACTACATACATTTATATATAATTATATAATATTGCTCTAATAGTTATTAAATAAATAATAATTATGCTGTATTTCTGCTGAATATTAATTGCAACGACTATCGATAAATTCGAGATGATTCTACACTTTTTCCACATATTATTCCAATGATGATAAAAACAACATATTTCGTAATAACAAACATAAACATCAAAAAGGGGCAGTGTCGTTTGAATATTTGTTTATATATTTTTTTTAATAATTTATATTATGTACACGAATCGATTTACATTTACATGCACAATTAGCCCACGCGTTGTATGTAGCACCCAATAAATTTGTAAATTCTTAAACACGACCAAGCAATATTTTGTGTGTACATAAAGATTAATGATCGCGCTTTTTTTTATATATTTATTTACTAAATATTAAATTATTATAATGATAATACAAATTATTATATATTATATTTATTGTACTTATTATGTGAAAAATATACTCAGAAAAAATAGTATTTTATTAGATAAAATCAGAGAAATGGGAAAGAGAAAGTGAAATTTATACTGAAATTTACAACGGTTTATTTACAAACAATTTTTATGGAAATATATAGTCAATTACGGAACAACGTGCAAATATCACACAAAATTGCATCAAATTTTCCAAACCAAATTTGAAATCAATCAACATGAATAAAATTCTTTAAAATATTCTTAATCTCAATCTATAATATGGAATGATTGTGAAATAAAAAAAATGTACATACAAAATATACTGATTTTGAAAAATGACTAGTAACTATTAAGGCATTTTTCATTAAACCTTAACTATATATGTTTACAATAATAATGTAACTATAATATTACTAAATACCACATCAACGTAATCACTACTAATAAAAGCGTCATTATTCTGAGAATATTAACAATGAAATAAATAAAAAAATCTAACGTTTTAAGTCTCAAGTACACTTCTAGACAAGCTTGTATGCCTTGCGCATCTACGTATCTACTTAGAAAACTATAATACACAATTTCAGCAAATTTTTTAAAGTAATTATGAATAAATAATAAATTTATCGCTCATCAGAATTTATTGTTCTGTGGTTTTTTTATAAAAGTTTTCAGCCTGTATGACACAACATGTCATGTTATATTGATAAAGTATTTGTCTTATTGATTTGATGCAGTCAATACGGTCTAAAAGCTGCCTAATACATTTCTGATCTAATATAGTATATAAATAATGCTTGACTAGAACAAAATTAATGTTTTGTTCTCAGTCCCAATTACTTTCATGTTTATTTTAAGTCCAGTTTAATTTAAGCCACGTGTCACAGTTATATAATTTATAATAAACAATAAATAAGAAAAAAAACTGAAATATTTGTTAGTGAAATCACAGATAACATATCGTGGTTCTTATAATACTCGCTATACTAAATATATATTATTCATAATATTTAGAATATAATTTACAACGACCGTATTGCACTATGCGATAATTAATACCTTGTGGTATATAATTTATAAGTAGTTTTCATCGAATTAAAATATTTTCGTGTTGGACGATTATGCGATGTTTATTTATATTTACATCACTTCTTAAACTAGGACAATATACAAACAATGTTTGTAGTTAGACAATTCCGTGCGATAATAACTTATTTGGAATTTTTTATAAAAATATAAAATACAATTCGAGTTGTTCTAGTTAGGTTTTCATATATCAGTATAATTATTATCATATACGTGAATAGGAAACGAATGACACAACATCAATACTGACATACTACTTTTAGCTTACGCCGTATTAAACTATGTTGTACATGAACTTATTGCATGGTATAAATCTCACCTCTTCTCTCAAATATAGCTTTGAGAGCTACGATTAGTATTTAGGGTGATAACTTTAATATGTTTTATTACGATTCCAAGAATGGTGATCACCGCACCCTAAATGTCAAGTGCTTACATACTGAATTTGTGGCAGTCACTAGCTATTATTTGTAAATATAAATTATTATTTGTAATTATAAATTTTGACAAACATTGATGCTATATTGCAATATGCACAAGATCAACCATGTGAATCATGCAAGCGGTAGTTCTGGTGTGAGATTTCAGTGGGACGTAATGCAGAGTAAGGACTGTAGTGGTAGATCCTGTCTTGAGGTAAAGCAGCGAGGGTAAACAGCAATCACGTGTCAAAGGAGGGAAAGAACGGCAGTGTGGATAGCTAGGAGAACGAGGTACCAGATGGTTAGGCCCGAGCGCAACCACATGGAGACTGCGTGATGCGAACAGGCGATCACGTATTAAGAGAGGGAAGGGAGGGCAGAGTGGAGATCGAAGAGAAAGAGGGAAACCAGGCAGCGATCCCGGAGCGAGGCTGCAGTGTAGCGCGAAGAAGCGCCTCCTCATGAGCGGAGAGTCTCAGTAGGGCTGCGAGTGCGCGAGTCAACTGCCGCGCCTCCAGTTCACGTGCAGTCAAAAACCGCAGCACCACGTGCTTCAAGTACCTGGGTGCGACAATGATCACAAATTGTTTTTTTTTTTATATTGAATGGCTAATTAAATTTGGTAACTGTCGCCTTATAGGATAGTAGTGTTGTCCATATTCATATACACAAAACAAACGAACACAATGACCGTAATCTAATTTGTAACATACTTATATGGTTAAATGTTGACACGCCCGAGAAGAAAAATGCTATTAGTGTATGTACCATAATTTTATTGACATATTTCACCCTTAAACTTGAAACCTAGACACAGACTAATAGAAATAAGTGTAATAGAGATACCTACTCAGAATGTACAAAGTATACCTGTTGGATCAAATCACTTTTACTTATCGTTAGTATGTTGTCCAAATTGCAAATCGGAAAAAATCCAATATTTTATAATTAATATGACAAACTAGGTAACGGCCTAATGTGAAATGGTGACCGCCGCCTATACACATGAATAGCACTACGAGAATTACGTTACCATGTAACACCCTTAATACCGTACATACGTTGCTATTCTAGATAAATAAGATGTCATGTTCTTCTCTAATAATTTCACTGCCTAATCACACCCTACAACGGAAACAGAGCTTATAAAGCAGCTGATGCCTTTAAAAACTCTAGGATAATTAAAACTAATTTAACCAGACCATGAAGGATTGCTAGTTACTATTGCAAATTCTACTCACTTTCTACTAATATCCTGTTCCTCCGCTGACGTGAGATCTGATTTACTACTTTGTAATTCGCGTTGCAATGTTTTCTTCATATCAGATATTCTGTTGTCTAAGGTTTTTATTTTCTGAAAAACAAATATTAGCTATAAAATAACTATTAATAAATAATTCATTTAATATAAATTTATATATACTAAACAGAAATAAATGAATAATAAATAATCCTGGACAATTACACATAAAAAACATCCAAACCGATACAAAGAATCTTACTCATGAATACAAATTTACCCACTGTGCGAGGAATCGAACCCGCAATCATCGAAAGTGAAGGTAAGTAAGTAAGCTAAACCGCTAGACCGCCGAGGCCGTCGAATGTGTAATTACTTTATTACATTACGGAATGTTTGACTAGAAAATTGTAGCAAATTAAATTTCCACCTTATTTTTATCACAGATTTCAGTTTCAAAGTCTTCTATAGTCTTTTTAAACGTAGTTTCACTTTCGGTGAACTCGTCAATTCTCTTCTTCAGCTGTTCTATCTCAGTCTTGCGGGTTTCTTCATTTTCCTTTATCAACATACATGCGGCTTGATTCTGAAAATAACGTAAGTACGTAATAATTTAACATATAGATAAATAACAATATGCACTTTCTTTTATAATCCTGTTTCCGGCCACTTCGGCCATTACAGGCTAAATATAAAGGCGGTAAGTAGCCATATAAGTTGTGTCTGTAAAATTTGTTGTTTATGTATATTTTTATAAATTTTTGTTTCATAAACAGGTTACGCTAAATGTTTATTTATTCGTTAAAGCCTTTTAAATGGAAGTCGTTACATCAATATGGTATAAAGAATACTTATTTAATTAGATAAAATTCAAAACTTTCTTCTGTTAATGTTCTACTTCTATGAATTCATAAATCTACCTCTTTGTGTTGTGCTATAAGTGATTCCAATTCTGTTATTTTCACTTTTAACTCGCTGATTTCCGATTCCTGATAGCGCACATTACATTGGCTCATCTCTACAGACTGAGACATGTGGGCGTTGCGAAGTAGGGCTTCATCTTTTTCCCGTTTCTCCCTAAAAATTATAAATTTTAGTATTACAAAATCTCAAGTTTCAAGACTCAGAAGTGCAAAAGTGCTGTCTTTTTTAATTTTGTAAGTACTAAGTAATAAATATTTCTATAACATAAGATTTATACCACAACAATAACTTGTGTAGGATTATGATTATCTTATTCTACATACTATATTACTGCGGTTTTGGTCAAATTGTTTCAAACATAATCTAGGATTACAGTCGAAGGCATTTTTTTTTTGTATAGATACGATAAACCAAGGCTAATATTTTATTGGCTTATTGATTATTGACTCATAATCGTAATATATAACTTACTATTTATTAACACTGATAAAATGAAATAAATAATAGATTTAGAAATATATAATGTTCTATCATAATTTCTCTGGCATATTAATCGTTAATCGAGTATTACTAACGTAGTGTAAAAATATTCTTTAACTACTAAATAGGCATATACTCTTTAACTCGGTTTGCCAAATGATAGCTCTTCCGAATTCATTATAAATTTCATGGCGTAGTACATAATATAAGTGAAGAGTTACTTTCTAACAGGAGCAATTTATAAATTGCTCCTGAAAAGAATATTTTTCAGAATTTTTTTTTAAAAAAACATGATATAATTATATGTCATTTCATAAAGAGTTCATTTTATTCCAATCGCCACTTTGAAAAAATAAGTGATTCAAACTCTTTAAGGCAATGCAGTTGGCACAAAATTAACTACTACATAATTTGCCAAATATATGATGTAAACAGTTCTAAGTGTATTCTATAACAGAACCTACTTGTCATACTTCCGCTGCATATCTAAATAGTCGTGCTGCATATCGGTCACCAGAGAATTGAGGTGGTTTAATTCTGCTTTCTGCTCATCAGATAACAGATTTGATTTGTCCACTTTCTCCTTCAGGATCCTTACCAGCATCCGCTCATTCTCCAATGCCAATGACAGCTCTTTGTTCTCTTCTACCAGGGTTTCTATACGACTTTCAAGATCCATCGTCTTTTCCTGCAAGCAATGGTTTTGTAAACGAAGATTACTCAAATTAATAATACCAAATAATCAATTATTTATTGTTGAGCCATAACGGGTATTGAAAATATATAGGAATAAGTTTAAATAACTGTGAAGTAAAACAGACTACAGTGTACGTTATGACTACTATTGATGGTGCTACTATTGATAGTGCTTAAACAAACAGAACTCCAAAGTAAAAACTATAATAATAATAATAAATATTATAAAAAGAAAATATAGTCTGCTGCTAAGTGCATACATAAAATTTTATCAATGCCAAAATGGTGGATATATTAATTGTTGACAATATTTTAATTTTAAATAGAAATGTAAAACTTCCATCACTGATTATGTTAAAAAGTCTTCGTTGTATAAACTATTTAATATTAGACTATAACAATAAATTGATCTAAGATTATTTTAAGGACTCGAGTTAATTACATTATATTCTTATTCTGATAGGATGTATATATTTTTTATTTCTTACTTATTCTTTAGGAAATAATCCAATATGGAGACCCGCTCGTCTCAGGAGTCAAGAGAGCGAGTACTGTCGGTCTCTTACCGCTTATAAAACTAGCAGGGTATTTATTCCTCTCGTTCACCATAATACCAAGATTGCGAACTTTCTTTCGTTTTCTATAGTGACCGCAGCGCGCATATTATATTTGAGAGCATTAACAATAATTTGGCCAACCCTAATGTTACCAAGTATGTACTCTTACACTGGCCCATCCCGTCAATACAACTATTTCTTATTTATATTAACATTAACTACGGGAAACAACTTCACCAAGACTATGCTCCCGCGGAGGGAAGCGAGTGGGATAGTTAGATTTTTTACCCACAAAAAACTACTAAATGTACGTACTTCGAGGCACCAGAGTCACGTGGTCACGATTGTAGGTATTCTACCACTGATATATATAATTGCTACATATGAAAGAAATAAAACAAGATCACTACTTGTACTATTCACTTATTAAGTTATTTCAAATATCTGTCATCTTTCAGAGTGTAATAAATGCAACTGCCAGCCTTTTACAGCAGCCTCAGATTCTTGGTTTGCTACATTATCATCGTCTTAGATCGTAATACCTCTCCTGTTACCGTTTAAATACATCCACTGTTCTAAACTACGTGAAATAATATAACGCCATGCACTATGTTTTTTAATTTATCAAATATACATTTTGCAAACTACTATATAATAATTTATATACAGACCATTTCATCAATGTTAGTTCATATATACAGATAGATTAGTGTGTAATTAAGTTAGTAAAACGTGTGCAAGAAACATTAACTCAAAACAGTTCCATAGAAAGTTACTTTGGTGTTAGTACATTAGTCAAAACTATGTTATTAAATGAATTATTCTATAGTTTGAATACATGCAAAACCATGTCGATTAAAATTAATTAAAAACATAAATTTTGTTGGAGGATTATGACTAAAGATGTTATGTCTTATGTGTACCATATGGTAAATAAAATGCGTCTAAATAAGGACAAGGCTCAAAAATAAAGAAATAACACTACTATAACATAATTTATTGTATATAAACGAATTCAATATAATGAAAATAATATAAATTTAAGTAACAAAATATAGAAGTACATTAAATAAAATTGTCAAAATAAATTTCTCTACATACAAATTAAAATAAGTACGCAATTGTAATGTTAATAAAACTTACTTGGAATGTATAATGATTTCTTAATAATTTCGTAAGCACCAAACGATTTACACATTGACAATGGGATGTACAAACTGAACAACAGCTGTGTCACCAGCGGCGTCCACGCATGACTCTTGTCAGCGGCGCGCCTTACGAGACAACAAACGTCTCATCACGTGATGTCTACACTATCTACATCGATGTACGATATCATTTGGGGTAAAGAAAACACTAAACATGTCTGCAGTGCACAGTACACTACGAAAATAATAATTAAATATGTATGAAACAGCTGCCGCAGACTAGACATAACAAATTTTATAAATAAAATAGTTGTTCCAAATCTTATTCATAGTTAAAATAATCCTTAATTTCCTTATAATAGAGATAAATTCGATATATAATATGTGATAAAACTATGTGATTATGTTTATTTATAATAAACATAGTTTATATAAATATTAATTAATAGAAAACTAATGACATAATTTCATGGAAAATTTTTAACAAAATAATAAATGCATCTACAAAACTATACAAACCAGCTTGTGTTTGAATGCAAAAGCATTGTGTAATTGAAAACTAATTAGTTATAAAAATACAATTTAAAATATACTCAGAATGTTGCAATATTGGAAATCTTTGCGTCATTATAAATGTGTAGGGTAAGAATGTTGTATCTATAGGACTAAGACCATAGTACTCACAACATTTGCGTTGTATCACAAAATAATAAATAAGAGAAACCATCACGAATCATAAAATAATAAATTAAAATATTTTTTTTTTATTACCGCTGATGAAACTGTAATATATTGTACTAGATAGTGCTTTTATGTTAAACTATAAGACCTGAGTCAATATCAAAAGCACAAATAAATAATTTCATAATTAATAAAATATACGTAAAATATATGTGGTTGAGATTTTTTTAAAGTAAGTAGCTATATTTAGTTATGTGTAAAGTATAAAAAATAATAAGTTATAGTTAATTTTACCCATTTCCTTATTTTGTATTTCGTCAGTTTCTATTATATAATATTTCATGAGTTCTATACATATACTAAATATTAAAGGTTGCTCAAAAAGAAACTCAATGTGACTACAACTAACCTGTTTATGAAAATATATGAAATGTGCCGAATCGATTGTGTCAACTAATTTGAAGAGATCACGAGACCCATTGCAGATTCAGGTCTCCGGTTAATTAAGTGACCAATCAGAATAGGCACAATCATGTTAAAGTGGATTTAGACTCTTAATCCAAAATAAACGAATGAATAGAAAGAACCACACAACACTTAGAACACAGAATCTGCTAGCTATTGTACAAAAATTTTTGCGCCATTGAGCAATTACAGAATAGTTATATTTTAGCACGTTGTATCAGAGAAGGAACGTTGTACAGCTGGCATTGTCTAAATCCACCTTTACGTTAACACCATAGCTATATGCTGTAGAGGCTGCCACTCACGGCTGCTTGGTTGGCGGCGTTCCGTAGCGCCTTCGCCTCCATCGCCAGTGTGTGCACCTCGCCGTTCAATCGCACCACCTGATGTATCGTCGCACTTAGTCCTTCTAACCATCTTAATTTCTAATTTAATTATACTACTATGTTATATATAACTGCTAGTTAATTAGGTATAGTTGCTAATTAATGAGGGGAGCCTTTTTCTACATAAACATAAGTATAATATACCTATATATATGTATATAATATACTGAATATATATATAAAGTAATTATAAAATATACATGTATATACAAATAGCGAAAATAAGAAGTTTCAATTTAGGACATTTTGATGTACTCATATTATTATTACGTAAAGTAAATTTAAGCAACATACTTAGAAAAGAGATTAGTAGTTCTGACAAGAAAAGTAGATAAATTGTGGCACATGCGTATTATTATTATTAAATTTTGTCTCTTTTATCAAAATGATGTCAACATACTTTCAGTAAACAGTGGAATGCAATATAATACAAATACAGTACACATCATGTGCTTATTTTAAACCACATTAATATAAATCTATTCTCGTATTTTTTGCATATCATTGTTTGTATAATACAATAACTGAAGCTTGTTTTCTTTGCAGTCATAAAACTCTACATAAGGTTTTAACTACAAAATATCTGTGACGTATACAATTTCTTAAATTATTATTTGTATTCAAGTTTACTCCGTAGGATTAGGCAAACTAAATTAAAAAATAAAATTATTCCAATGTAAGATTGTTTCAATACATGTTTAGAGTTTTTTATATTATTTGAAATATAGCTTATGATTTATTGTCTCAAACTATGATAATATCTATCAGGGATTAAATGCAGGCAGTCAATATAGCATTACAGAGTTTACTGAAAGAGGAATCTATAAAACCTACCTCATGTTCCGGAAATAATTTCAAACTTTGCGGCTATCTAGTCTCTAAATATAAACTACAACATGAGTATAATTTATTTACCTTAGCTTCGCTATTGACCAAGTTTTGTTTGGTTTTCTCTAACTCGATCGACAAATTGACTAGTTTCTCTTGCATGTCTCTCTTTTCGGTCTCCACTCTTCTCCTCTCAGCCCCCTCTTCCCCCGCTTGTCGCGATAGACGGGCCACCTATGTTAGAACTCCGTATAACAATAGGGGTGAAGTTTATATTGATTATCATTATTTTAATTAAGTATCACAATATCGCGTTAACTAAAGGTAGGAGTAGTCCTGTTTCCTTGAATGATTATTTATTGTTATTCAGAAATAACATACCGGTGACTGATATTTACAAAATGATTGACTGGTTTATTGGTCATGTGGTTTTAGTTATTTATTATATAGATTGTGATTAGGATTATTCATGCAGATAGAAACCAGTTGCCATAAAGTCGCATGCATGCACTTCACTTGGTAGTCACAAAATTCACATTTCATAATAAGATATCATATTATAGGGTACAAAATTCTATTATACATTACTAATACTATTTCTGATAGTTCTTATTAATGTGTCCCCGCGTTGATAATTGTTGTTTAACGCTTTCTATTAACATATATACAGGGTTAACTTTACTATTCATAAATCACTAGAGTTTCGACTTGGTATATGCACTTTATGTAAGATGAATGCACTTTATAAAGAATAAATACTGTCTGCATAGTATGTGAGAGATTTTCAGTGAAGTTTTACCTGAGTCTCGAGTGAAGCGATCTGTCCGCTCCACGACGTTTTTACGTCGGCGAGCGCCATCTTGGCCTCTTGTAGTTGCCGTGTTAACACGGCACGCTCGCGGCAGATTCGGTCGAAATCCTCACAGCCGGTCGGCTGTATCGTACGTTTATCTACAAAAACATACTATTTAATAATAAAAATAACACAAGAGTTACGACTGTCGTTCCACCTGGGGTCAGAGACATTGCCAACACCCATTGTTGTAGTTAACGCAACACTTGACATGGGCACATTTTGCTAGGCATATTTGATACAAACGTGGCAGGGTGAGAACTTAACGTCGTCTCTCGGATATTGTTTTTAGTTTTATATCCGTGTTTCCTTAATTGATTCAGAGAATCATAAAACGGCAGTCTCGGTTGTCTAGTAGTTTAGCACACCACCTCACTTTCCGATGACCGGGGATTCTGTATTCATGCGAACGATTGTTCTGTGATTTTTTTATGTATTTACAAAATATTATATTTAAGTATTTATATGGGTCGTCTAGTAGCACCCATAACACAAGTTCTGCTTAGCTTGCGAGTATCTGCCGCAACACAAAAAAAAGTAGAGTATCATTCAGACTACAAGAAAGAAATAAATTAAGTAACGAAACCTCATCACATATGTAACGCTACAGCGGTGAGATGATAAGCATCGCGCTATACTATAGAATTATCTAGGGTGGAGGTGGTTTGGAAGAGCATTCTCGAGGGTGGGGTGGCTTGGAAGAGCATACCCTGGGGGTGCATGTGGTGCAGGGGGTTGTCGGGCGGCAGGGCGGCGCGCAGCACTGCGAGTTGCTCCTCGAGGTCCCGCGCGCGCTCCTCGGCCGCGCCCCGCGCCGCCGCCGCCTGCGACCACGTGCGGCGGCTCTGTTCCACCTCCTCCTGCGCATAACACATTCACGCTGTTAAATAACACATCCATGTCGTTAGATAACACATCCATGTCATTATCTAACGTAATGGGTAGTCGTCATTTCATAGTACATAGTTTTATGTTTCATCTGTGATGATATAGGAATAAATCTCTAAGTGTGGGGTTAACTACTTCATTGTAAGTGTTTTTAACAAGGAATAAATTATAAATATAACATACTGTAAGCTCATCTAATCTGTCCTGTGCGTGCTCTACGGCGGCGAGGCGCGCCCGCAAATCATTCACTTGTTTCTCGGCGATATCACGCTCACTTATAGCTTTTGCTGCCTCTGCTTGGGCTGCTCGAGCTACTGCTTGAGCAGCTACGGCTTCCTCAGCTATATATAAAATATTAGTATATACAATATAATATAATATACAATACTGTTTTGTTCTACCAAACACATAATAATAATTATTCGCAACTATATCTTATAAATAAATATTATAAAATAAGTTCAACTTCATCAATTATGTCATAATAATTTATGTTGACAGTGGTCTAACGGTTTAACACATCAATAAACTTCCGATGGTTGCGGGTTCGATTTCTTGTACAGCAAATATATTGTATACATGAATATGATTATTAGTATTAATATGGGTATTTTCTATGCATATTATGTATGTCTTTATTAAAAAATTTAAGTCTTTATATCAGTTGTTTAGCACTCATAGCACACGCTCAGCTTAGTTTGGGACTAGACAGTGTTGTAAATTGTTCTGGATTATTATTTTTTTTTTTTTATTCAAGCAAATTTGAAGAATTTTCTATCTAAGTACCATCCTTATACCACCACTTATTACCTTGTATAGAAGCTTGAGAGAGCTTTAACTCATCAATTTTCTTTTCCCAAAATGCATCTCTGTCTTTCAATTTTAACTCCAGCTGTGCAGAATACTGTTGATGTAGTGCTGCTTGGTCTAATTGTCCACCAGTGCGATCCGATAAATATGACTCCAATTGTGGTGATAATGACTGGAACAATTATATATAAAATTGTTGATAGACTTCAAATTTTTATACAAAAACAATTAACTTTAGTGTAGTAATTTTGTATAAACATCAGAATAAAAAAGAATCAAAACTGATCAATGTAAGGTTTTATGTAGAAAATATCTGCAATTAGTTCTAAAGCAATAAAACATTCTGTGAACTAATATTTCTGTAATGTTATTATTTCTGATATAATCAAATGTCATAAATAAAACTCAATTTATGTCACGTTATTCTTACAAAAATTTATAGCTATGGTGGACCATAACACTTTAAAAATGTTAATCTTACAGACTATATTAACATTTTTAATGTGATGTAATGACAAAAAGTCATTGAAGTAAAGTGCATTAAACTTAGAGAGAGTCAACACAAAAAATGTTATTCAATGTTACCTCAATTTGCAATATTATCAACCAGGCCAAGGCCCAGAACAGGTAATGGTAGCATTATAAATGTGGCATAGTGAACCTATTTTGTAACAAATATATCTTTAAATACAGTTTTCTCCTCATTCACTGGCATGGAATAGTTGGTTTATTTTAAAAAAGGAGGCATATAGCATCCAATAATTTAAGACCTAGTGATTTTGTAGCGCGGTGGTTATCAAAAATTCAAAATTCAAATCATATGTTGTGATGAGGTGGCGCTACATAATATATTATTTATTGTAGTATGTAGGTAGTAAGTATACTGGTAAAATGATTGTACTATTTATTAGATATTATTAAGATTATTAGTAGTGTGCTACTAATAATCTTAATTATATAAGGATGTAGACTTAAATTTATGTTAGTGGAAACATAGACTAATGGAAGGGTCTCAAGTGTCGACAGAAATATTACAAGTGTAGGCCCAATTTAAGGTAATAATACCATGAACTCAAAAGTTAATGACTTTTGAGTTAATGGTATTTTATTACTAAAATGTATTATGTTACTAAAAAAATTCACAGTAAATTTTGTAAATATGCACTAAAATGCAAATTATTTTGATCTGTGCCATGTCCATAATATTGTATCATTGGTTTGCCACCCCTAATCTAATTTATAGTAACCATTACCTCTTACAAACCCGTCTTAACTACTAGTTATTGGTCTCTTTCTTTCAAGTAAAAACTGTTTGATTTCAATAAATTAGGTTTATTTGATATTTTTCATTTTTATAATAAATAAGTGCTAAGTCAACTACTAAGATTCTTTACAATTTAGGCAGTCCAAAATATCACATTTTCAGTGTTTTGTGCTTTCGCTTCTGAGCTGATATGTATACATGTAAATAAACAGATGTAAGTAGTCAAATTCAAACTAAGCAATCATAATCCAAAACAATACTCTACGAGTCGAGGTACAACAGCGGTGATGCATACAAGTTCAAACTTAATCAAGTATTAATGTTTAAACAAGTAAATGTACTAGTGAAGATTGTCAAAAAAATATTCAATAATAAATAATAGACCATGTCGGATTACAAGGGGGGCTGGATTACCGCAGGTCCACTGTACATTATATTCACTATACACAGTTTAGATCTAAAATGAAAGAAGAACTGATTTTATAATATTCATATATAAGAACATAAATTCAGGTAGAGCCTAGTTGTAATATGTTTTATACTCACATAAATGAGCCAGTGTACAAGGGATAATTGTATTCAGTCACATTTAGAAACAATAATACTTACATCAGAAGTGGAGTCCCCAGGTCCCCCTGAACTGGAAGGACTTGCTGTAGACTGCAAATTTTTATACATATATAAACATAATAGCATCTTACTTACATTATGTTGAGGTATATTAAAATTAATTTTAAATTAAAGTAAACTGGTTATTTATAATTTGGATGGTAATGTATTAGGTTAGGGTGTGTATCTATGTTTTACACAATAAACTAATATATTACGGTCAAAATTGAAACAATGGATTTTCTCTAATATATTCTTTCATTATAAAATACAAGAACATATTATATCTATAAAGCAACAGTAACTTTAATGTATAGTATAGGCCTTTGTCAGAGGCTTATAAGGATTGACAAGACGAATCCCAACATTACTACAATAATTATACTTTGTAATTATTCATAGATCTAATTACACTGTTAATGTAATTGATGAACAGATACAGGTATTGAACAAATTACAACACATCTATGCACTTATTACACTGATTGTGTTACAAAGTTAATGCTATATTTTTATTAAGGAAAAGTGTACACTATGCAGACTCAAGATATTAATCCAAGAGTTATACATGAGAACCTAGAAAGTTAATATGTATAAATATGACTCAATTATCATTTATATATTAAGTTTTTGCCAAGTATACTACAATATATTTATCTTACCGAATCATCCCTGAGTGTGATTCTGCCCAAGAAAGCACCATTTCGCCAACTACTCGTTAGCTTGCTTAAGTCGCTACCGGTTTCTTCTTTGATCTTACTTTTTAGACTAGCAAACATTGCTAATTGTGTCTCTGAAAGTTATATTACTCAATAGTTACGGAATATAAACTTACGAAGAGATTTTGAAGCTGCACCGAATGGCTACTAACGGTTTATACACAAAGGTGAAACACTTACTAGTTTTGAGATGGTTACAGCTAAACGTGTCCTGATGAAACTTAATACATTACATTAAACCACTTCGCGCAGTGGGCAACCACGTAGATATTCATTAGGATCAATAGAATGTATAAAGTAAAATATGGAATGGTTTAATATTACAACAATATAAAATAATAATTATTTATACGTAGCACGGTTTTATAGAATGATGATGAATAAAATGTCGAATAATATAATTTTATTATTACAAAATTTAATGTTAATTGCAAGCAAAATTTATTTATGCCTTACGTCAAATTGATATATTTTTTGTTATTTGACATTATTTGACAGTATTGCATGATACTTTGACAATAGGTTATATTGCAGTCAATGTCACCTCTTGTCAAAATTTAAAGTCGACTATGGAACATTAGCCAACACAAATCGCCAGAGCCAAAAGAAGAGAAAAAAGAAAAAATACTGGGAAAGTAGTGATACAGTAATTACAATCTCGATTCGAAAGAAATTATAAAACCTTACTGAGTTAATCTTTCGTCACAGTTGGTAAAACCACCGATAATTTTTGGTGACAGTCATTTAAACCAAAGAAAAATTGTAAACATTTATAGTATGAAACACTAAGAAAATAACCACCACGTTTATATAGCGCACACTCCATACAAACGTATTAGGTACGTTCTCCTATACCATGTAATGTGCTGTAGCATGGTGCGGGGTACAGTTTCAGAAACGTTCATTTTCACTCTTGGAAGTTGCCGCCACAGTCGAAATTATGACTTAGTATTTTAGCTATACCACATCCGTAATATATTAAATCATTAATAACTATAGTAACTTAAATTTAACCCAGCCAGAATGTTCTAGTCTACTAATAAAGGCAAGTATCATCCACGCCATGCTATAGCGCACGGTATAAATGAGCTCAGTTAGGATAACGATAAATGTTCGGTTCTATATATAATAAAATTTTAATTGAAATTTGGAGAATTTAATACAAACCGCATCACTCGTCACACATTCAGTGACCTGAACCGAATTTATTTCGTACTAATAAGTAATATCGCTTCTAGGCTGTAATGTAGCCCTAAATATTATTTATATAACACTAGTTCGCTGTCGCTAGCTCCATTTCTATCCTGCTTATTGGCAATTAGTTTATATTTGAATGGTAGTCCAATATAATGTAATAACTGATTTAATTGAATTTTCTTTTGAAAGTGATGAGGCTGCCAATAGTCCCAGAGGTCTTCTATGTATTAACTATAGATATTTTTTACTTTATGAATGACATAGTTATATATATAGAATGATGCACGGCATATGCTATATGACGTACCATTGGAACATGATGAGATGAATATTAAAACTTTTCTTTAGTACTTTTAGTTTAGTTACTTAAGTTTATTTTTCTAAAATAAAAGTAGCTTAAATTACTCCTTATTATATCAGCTACCTGCCAAAGAAAAGCCCCGTCAAATTCGGTACAGTCATTTCAGAGATTAGCCGAAACAAATAGACAGACAGACAAAAATTTTAAAAAATGTTCTTTTAGTGTATGTACCGTATTCATATGCATGTAGTAGAAAACGGTTATTTCAATATTACAAATAGACATTCCAATTTTATTCATATGTATAGATTAAACGCGGGAGAGAGCCAGAGGCAAAGCAGTGTTGGTATAGTTTAATAGCCTATAGTAAATATCAGCATTAATACAAGTGGGGGAGGGGGTTTGTTAGTTCGTGGAATATGTACTGTATATTTTTAGCAATAATGGAGGCCTTTAAGCGGATTTTGGAATCCATTATTGTTAATTGTTGATGAATTTGATACTGGGCTATCTGATCTGATTTTATCAATAATATAAAACAGTACCTATACAGGCGTCAATCTAGTTTGTGCTGTGATTAAATTTCCTAATAAAAATCTATATGTCTTTATAATTATAAAGATACAGATACAGAGAGGGAGCTGATTTTGTAACAACTATAGTAAACCAGTACTAACTATAGTAACCAATATTGAACCAGTGCGTTCAGAGTCGGAGTATCTGGTAGTGCCTCATATGCAATACATTTATCAGGACATCTTCTATACCTATATAAATAAGAGGTCACTCAATGCTACTTTATTTGCAATATTGTTTAGACAGAGCTTTTAAGTTACCACCTCACTTCTTTTTAAGTGTAAGGATGCGAGTAAGTTCCTTTATAATAAAGTAATAATATGGATAGTTTTCGCAGTACTTATGCTACATAACCTATGCATATTATTTGTTCTACTTCTCGATACGGTTTCTAAGGGTCGACAACGCTCACGATATACCACGGGCTTTTCAGGCGTTTATGGGCTACGGTAACCATTTACCATCAGATTGACCGTATGTTTCTTTGCCACTGTCGTAGTATAATAAAACTAGAATAATATAATACTTACCTATTTTCATTGAGGATGGAATTTGTTGATTTATTTTTCATTCTATAAAACATTTCTGATTGCTATAACAGTGTACGTTCCGGTTATTCTCGTATACCTAATGGTTAATTTGGCACTAAATGACTGTGCCGATTTGAGAAATTCTTTTACTTGATAAAAATACATTGTCTCAGAGCTGATGTAGACTATATATTATTTTAATATATATAAAACTCTCATAGTTACTCGCTAAAAAGCAGAGATGGGATGGCCATTATCTGTATTAATAGTTTTATTAGTAGTTAAGTCTTCAAACATACAAATTTCAACATATATTAGGATGTCTTGTCATGTATTCGTGTTAGTTCTCTATACTTACCGTTACCCGTGATGCTAGAATGTATCTATTTACGAAAGTTCTAAAAATTGAAGTAGGATCCGGCGAAATTGCATCCCATCATGATTCTATTGGACAAGTGACAAAAATTAATATAGTATAGGTACCTAGACTATATTAATGGATTCCATTCCTAATTAATAGTCCAATGTAATGTAATAAATTATGTTCTTTTGCAAGTGATGAGTCTATTAAGTTGCTAAGAATTATTAAGTAGCTTTAATAGGACTGAACTAATAAATACTCTGTAATTATTATAAAAACAAATTACTAGTTAGATATCTATTATTTTATATGGACAGCTCAATTTTGTAGACGGTATAGGCTGGTGAGGATTCAGTGGAAGATGATGAAATTATGGCAAGGCTCTTTAAGTTTGGGGGAGGGATGTCTGCATAGCAACACAAAAAAAGACTTAAGTAAATTCAACATGAGGCTCCACTACCATGAGGAGGATGCATTATAATCAATTTTATTGATTATGTATTATATTAACAGGTATTAGGTATGTTTGTTACGAAATAAAACAGATCATTACATATTCAGTTGTTTATTATCTATGCTGTACTCAAAATTGATCCGAAGATCACATCACATAGTAATTTCATAAATAATATTACAATGTCATGTACTTTCTGTGATTGTTCGTGAATAAAAAAATGTTCACAATATTATAAATACTTTGATCACTGGACCGGTTTAAAGTAGACTGTACTTACTACATAATAAGATACCAATATTTAGGTACTCAAACAACTTACAGTATATTTGATGAGAGATATAATAATCAATTATTGTGTTGCAGTTCATTTTTTTGTTAATATATTTACAGTTTTACATTTTTTTTTGTGATTTACAAATAATTTCTTGAATATTTAATTAGGTCATCATTACTCCATTTGCATTTATAATAACAGTACTTTATAGTTAAAAATATCACAAAAATGAAATATATTATGTGTAAGACACACGCAACATTATACAACAAAAAGAAAAATATAAAATCCACTAGAAATTTCGGGCCAGAAGAGTCCCTTCTAAACAGGAAGGATACTTTCGATGTTCAATCTTTTATAACGGCAATTTGATACCATAATTATTATTATCACACTAATTAATTATAAAAGTAATCGATTGTCTTACAATAAATGCGTCAGATCATATAATTTTGATTATAAAAATTATAGGCAACAAATAATCCATGAAACGATAAATTTCAACAAAAAATAAAATGACAACTTATTTTATAATAGTCATAGTGCCGTATTGATAAAAGTGAACTGTTCACCTTACCCACTAGCACGGGACTGATAATAACAACCAACATAAAACACAAACGCAACGAGTTACTAATGAGTTTGACTCCGCATCCGATATTCACCTTTTATCGATATGGCATTCCACTTACGTTACGACAATAAATATAACACGCTTACACATTAATCACTTCTTTAATTCCGACGCTAGGAATTATTTCATAATATATACCTAAAAATATAATCACGGCACAAGTATCCCCCCGACTAAATTACTAAAGTAGTGTCACTTTATCAGGATTTAGAATCAAATATGTATTATGTATCTTAAATATTTCATTATTAATATATCATTATCAAAATATCCACTAAATGGGAGGAATAAATCAAATTATTAATATTTATTCTAACATTAATCGCATGACTGATCAACAAAAAGGATATGGACTAGGAATAATATTAGGCATTAGGCTTCCATGCCCTCGGGGCGAGCGCGCCGCAGCTCCGCTCGGAGGTCAGTGGCCGCGTCCGACGACCGGACTCCGGACACTTGAACGGCGACGACGCCGCGGACGGCGTCCGGCTGTCGGACGCACGTCGGGCGGCTGCGGCGCACTCGCCCCCGTTCTCTCTCTCTCTATCCGCATATCACCTCTACATACATACGACGAGATAAATTTGATCGAAACGATAATACTGTTTGTGTCGAAAACAATATAGGTAGCTATTACTTGATGCTGTACTCACCGAGAGCTAACTGGACTCGATCGTCGGTTACATTTTGTGCTTCGATAGACGGGAAAAGAATGATTATCTAGCAAAATCTATCTGGAATAAAAGCCGACGTTCTATCCTAGAATTTAGTTAAATAGTTTGGAAGTATGCCTTCTTCGTTTAAATATTGTCCGATAACGTTCATTGTATTCCGAATGACTGTTTTCTATCACTCTACGAGTGTCGTGATATTCTATTCTAAGTGTGAACCGGGCGACGCGACGCGACGCGATGCGATGCGCCGCATCAGTGCCGTGGGACGTGACGCGACAGGGATGGCTCGTTAACGGAAGAACGAAGTACCGACTGGCGGCGCTCCACCGCACCGCTCCACCTTACGTGAACATTGTGCTCCGGCGTCAAAAGTTTCGGTGCCGAAGGAGAGAAGCGGCTACGCTATTGGTGTTTCTTTACTGATTCGCTTAATCTAATCTAGTGTAAAACTTGTCATCTAGAAAAACGTAATTTTATATAACATACATAAAAAAGTAACATAATTCTCACAAAAATGCTCACAATAGGAGAGGGGTGATGCAACTTTTGACACCGACCATAGCCGTCGGTAGAGAGCTACGGCGACGAGTGCGCACGCTTCGCATCACCCATAAATATTACATCGCTTATATACAACAAAGTTTATGTGCTGCGCCAAACGACGATCGCACCGATCTTTACAGGAACTCATATCGTATCTTAAAAAAAATAATATACATTATCAATAAAACATTTGAAACCTCACTAACTACGATTCGACGATCTCGATAAAATTACTCAATACGGCTCCGGCGTTCGAAAATCTATTCATATCACAATCGCATGACCGTGCCTGAGAATCATATCCCGCTACTTATGTACACACTCCTTTCCGAAGACTACGCACTCTCCAGGCGGAGGCGCGCCGCTGGTATACGGCCCGCCTCCGCCGCTACGCTAACCGATATTCACTAAGATATCACCACCTCCGCTGCGGGAGCGACACTGCGATCCGCCGAACCTGCCTTTCCCGAGTGTGCCAGAGGCGCGATCGATATGGATAATGCTGGGCGCGGGCGACGCGGGACGGGACCTGTGGGGGTGAGGGCGGGGTGAGGGTGAGGGTGAGGGGTGGGACGAGGGTGCGGGGGCGGACGGGCAACGGACATGAGGTTAGGGAGGACGAAGAGCTGGCGGCAATTGAACTGGTATGTGGTAGTAGCGGCAGGCGGCGCGGCGGCAAGTGCCGGCGGCGGCGTCGCGACACACCACCACGCGACACCCCACCACCTGCAGCCCGCACCCTGCAACGTACACCCGCACCACATTACAACAACTTGTATATACTGACACTCATACAAGCACACTGAAACTTTCAATTGCATCGTTAATGTGGTAGAAATAAAAAAAATAGTGACGTAAAAAAGAACCACGTATTTTTAATTTTTTAAGTACAATTATGTTTTTAAACTATGGTAGTTTACTGGTGACATATGACATAATTACTGCTAATTCAAATGCGTCTGTAATAGACATAAATGGATACAGATATCGATAATAAGAAATATTACTTTTAATATTATTTTATAAATATTACTAGATCGATACTAATTACACTAAGACTAACGGCTAATGTTTTCGAATGAAACTACATAACTGTTACGAAGTTAAATATTTTATACTTCAATGCTAAGTAAAGAAAATGTTTAAAATAAAACTTCTACAGACAATGGATAACTAACTAATAATAATGACTAACTCAACCTGAAACTACTAGAATAATAAATAAGCATAGTTTGTTTCTAATAAAATAGTGCTCAATAATTATGTATTAAAACTAAAGATATCATGCGGAAAATAACAAGGACGGTTGGGTTATAGATTCACATTAAAATTGTGATATGAATATTTGTTTGATCAAGTATTTGAGGACATGCATTTTTCTGTCACTGTATTATACATTTAATTAATATCAAGTCTCACCTTCACGAATATGAACAAATCTGCAGGTAGGTCTTGAACATCCTTGTCGATTAAAATCTTGGCACACCGGGAGGGTGTCCAGTAACTGTAAACATGATAAAAAAACATTAGTGTTGCTGTCACTTTATGAACATATTCACACAGTCTGCCACCACAATAACAAGTTTGTATAAATTATAATTACTTTTTGTTACCTGTAATTAATATTGTTTTACAACAAGTTCATTTGTAAAGATCATTCTCATTGTACTATTACGCAGTATACAATGTGATTAGTATTTAAGTATATTAAATGTAAATTGCGTACAATCAAGTACTATAAATTGTGTAAATTGTCTACACTTTATATTTTTTTATTCCTTGATATCAATATTATGATATGATAAGTACAGTTTCATATATTATTATCAATTTGAAGTCGGTATATACTATATAACCAACAAATTTCCATCAAACGTGATGAGCTTGTTAATTGTGGCGTAACTGTGCGATATGTTGATACTAATAATACTACTTCACAAACAGTCGGAAAAGAAATGTATTGTAAAATGAAAAATGTACAGGACAGTAGTCCATGAGTTCCGATGGTTCATGAATTGTTTGTATGTTAATAGTGTTAATGCTAATTCTATATCATCACTTTTTGGACATTCATACATCTGACATTAAATATAATCCTCATTGCACAGCCGTCTGAAAAAATAACGCTGACATAGTTTTTGTAATATCAAAGAGCAAAGTTGAAGAATGATTAATGTAATTTAGAAATACCTAAGAGATTAAACTAAACTGTAATTAACATCTCTATGGTTTTACGATTTTTTTTCATAATATTTCGTGTATCAATTTTCGTTTAAGAAACAGAAATATGCAAATGCGTGTGTACTCTCTCTTGCTCACTTTTCACAATTACTACAAAAATTAACACAAAACGGGACACACGGAAGGCGGAAACTGCTCAAAATCAAATCTTGTTGCTGCTTTAATATTACAAGAACTTTACAAGATTCGTTGCACAATATGATTGGACCTTCCAAGCATTCTTTCATTTACGTGCGCACTGACGTAATGTGTGTCACCTTTATATTGTATGTCTAAAGTCACTGTTGCATCAAATTTTACATAGAATTAATATTTTACGAGCCCACTGCGAGAGTTATTCTCGTGAGAAATTCCGTAACCGTCAGAGAGTAGTGTTAAAAATACGTTGCACTATGCACATAGTAGGTATGAATATATAATCTAAATGGCATGCAGAACGCTTGAAGTATAATCATTATTGCGCAGCCAATCTTATTTAAGCGTGACTATATTTTACAAAAAAGCTTAAGCATGATGCTAGACAACTGTAACCAGGGCGGGGCGTTCTAGAAGGTTCTGTAGCGTCCAAAGTGTACCCATAAATACCAACTTGCTATAATGAAGCTAAGAGGCTGTGTGGGGAGTTTGCGACGTGTCTGAGTCGGCAGTGATGATTGAAACAGTAGGCCGTCGTTCTCAATAGAAGAACAGAGGACGGCCTTGGTTAACAGTAGGTTGGCTCTGGTTAAATGTAAATAGTCAAAATTATACCTTTAGCTTACATGACAGTTCTGGACGTGACATGTTAGTGGTAGTACAAACTGCAACATAATGACCATTAGAGAGTGCGGTTACTGTACGACAAACAAAAGAAAACCAAGTATATTATTACATCTACGGTGAACACTTCAAATAAGCATCAGAGAGGCCTCGACAAGTCGTAAGCGAGGAATTGAAGCCGCAACGGCGAAGCACTTTAAGCATTGTAAAGTAAAATTGAAGTGATTAATTAAAGTACTTAATATTAAACCATTTATAATGCAATAAGGAATTATGCCGTATTTGACAGATATTAGTTTACATAGAAAGTGATCACTTCGATTTTTCTTTTTTCACCATTGTCATTTCAACTAACGACTACAAAAAAACATTTAAATATAAAATAGGAAAGAAGTATGTGAAAATTTAAATTAAATATTTCAAAAACAACCCCCTTGCTGGTAGTTGACAGTTGAAATTGGCCAGAGGTGAATTTAATACTTCCTGCTAATGAATTGATAACATGAAAAAAATTAATTGGCTGGTGTTGTTAAATAAATTGAACGTTCCGTGCAAAAACAAGTTTTAGTGTGAAAATGTAAATCAACTTATTAGCAGGCAGTACCTAAATGGCTTCGTTATTTAATTATTAAGACCACCTCTACTGAAACCGCCGGGTAGTAAACTAAGTAGGTATTAGTAGCATGTATTGCTAGCAGTAATTAATAAAATTAATTTTAATTTTAATTAAAATATAATTAATTGCAACATCATGCGAATGAGTAATGGCAGGTTTCAATATAGGCTTCGAATAGGAAATCACTTATACTGAGGATATTATATAAAGCTGATTGTATCTTACCGGGTGTAAGCAAGGCAATACTGTAGAGTGACTTCTTCCACATTTGAAAGCAAGTATGTCTCACTATACAAAACTAAAAATCATCAAGTTGTAGCATCAACTGTTCATTACAATATAATTGATACAATTACAGCACAATGACTAAAATGATTGATGTGATGATGACATTGATAACACATGAGACTCTTGATAAGCAATGCCATCGGTTTCTGGGATTTTCATTCACAGCGTGTTTTGTTCACTTTCCTTAACAATTTCACGGTGGCATTTCTTGTAAAAGCACGGGGATAGTTTTTCATATGTAACAATTACGCGGCTTGAATTTTGCTGTTCCAATAATGAAGGAGAACACAGCTCAGTCGATTATCTCACTTGATTTATACGGTTTCTATTTAACTTTGTATTATTTTGTGCGTGTAGTAAGGCCGATTAGGAAAGCTTAAATAACTAAGCGCACCTTGTCCCGTGAATAGCCCGCTGTTGTGATCGTGTTGTTTGTAGTTTGATTAATAAGCGCTTAGTCTACTAAGCCCGCTTGAAGCAAGAAAAATAAAAACAAGCGAATACTATTAGCGTAGAAGGAGATGAGATCGAATTCATTTGATATTGTTTCTGAACTTATTACTGACAAGTTCTATTATGATATTACAACAATATCCACTATGCAAAATTAGTCTAAGATACTTGTAAAAAAATCAATATATAAGTAATTGATATTTATATATAACATACAAATACCTTTTGTATTTAGGCCAATTTAACAGCTTGTTTTTCTCTTTCAATTATTTTAAAATACTCAACTCGAAACAAATCAAGCCTCGTTGTTGTTAATGTAACATTTTTCTTTAAATTACTTGTATTGACATAACTCATAAAATATCTTTGGGGTTTGGTAGAAATCAAACAAAAGTTTTAGACTGCCAATCATGGACAAGATTTCTCATGATTAGAGTTTATGTTCGAGTCGGAAATTAGACGTACAACGCCCAATATATTACATGAGTTTAGTTGTCGATACAAATAGTTTAAATCTGTAAGAGTTACGATAATTATTATTGCAGAATACGTAAACTGATAAAAAGCGCAACTAGTAGTTGGAGTAGGTAAAGGCGATATGCAGATAGTAGCGTGTTCAAGGTGAGAGCGTGAGCGCGGTATGGCGTCGTGAACCCGCGGTGACAGGGAAGCGTGTGGAAGAGGGCTGTGTCTACTAGCGTCTAGCGTCGGCTCTAAACGTCGTACGTTAATAAGCATCATGCTTGTCAATATGGGGAGTCGAGTGGGCAGCGGTGCGAGTGGAGGCGAGGGCGAGGTTGCGGAGGCACGCGCACTCGTTACCTGTCCGCGCTCGTCGGTGTACACCACATAGGGCGCGTTGGGCGGCGCGCAGCCTGTCCGGCCCGACACATAAAGCGACAAAATATTGGTAATGGGGACGACAGCCGAAGCGGTCATTCGGAAGGCATGTAACAGAAAGCGTTCAAATAAATAGAAAAGAAAGTGCGACCGAAAGAAAAAAAGCGGCGACGACGCTCGTCATCTTCGCAGCACTACTGATGAACACGCCTGCACACTTAGCACACACGAGGAGCCACTAGAATAATGAGAACAATACCTGATGAGCCAAACGTATAGGGGTGGTAGGTTCTATTCCATGCGAAAATTAGAAGGCGGCTGTGTTAGGTGCGGGCCTGCTGCTGCAAGCCGATAACCACTAGGTACGGGATCGACACATCGGCCAAAGCGCACCCGTGCGGAGCTCCTCCGAGAACAAGCGTGTACGTAGCGGGATCGACGGACCAAGCGCTCAACTCTCAGTACGACGATAGGTACTCACGATAAACGACGATCGACAAGAGGTAATAAAAAAACGTACAGTCATGCATCTCAAGCGTTATTATTACCGGGATCGTAGATATGAGAAATATACACGCATAGGATAAAAACGGTGAGTAGATACACAATAATAAGATATAGCGTAAAACTACCGAGACATCTGCGAGGGCGAGTCCGCTCGCTTCGTCCTTACAATAATACAATACAATACAAATGTGACCACACGCCTAGCGCTAGCCGCCCCGACAGGCCGGGGCGGGACACTCGGTCGCACACGTACGAGTCTCTACGCGGAGACCCCGCGCCCCGCGCCCCCCCGACCGCGGTGCCGCCCGCGCGCTCTATGTCGTCTTCATCTTCTTGTAGGGGTTCACCGCAGCGGCGGCCGCGGCGGCGGCGGCGGCGGCCGCCGGCGGCGTCGGCGGCGGCATCGTGTACATGTACTGCTGCGGGTAGTACGTGGGCATATGCATGGGCGGCGCCGGCCAACCCGGTCGCATCATCAGCGGCGCGCGCATCAGGCCCGGCATGCCGGACGCGCGCGCCTTCAACTGTTGTGAGTATACGGCGGCCGCCTGCGCCATCGCCGTGTGCTGCGCCGCGATGGCTATGGCGGCTGCATAGTTCTTGTGGGCCACCTCCTTAGCGACGGCGGCGGGGTCGGGCGTGGCGTCCGCGAGCGCGGCGGGCGGGGAGGCGGACTGCGGCGGCGCGGGCTGCGCGGGCGGAGGCGGCTGCGGCGCGGGCGCGGGCGGCGCCGCGGGCAGCGCCAGCGGCGGCGCCGGCGCGGCCGCGGGCGACGCCGCGGGCGGCGGGGCGGACGTCGCGGGTGCGGGGTACTCACATGACACGGGCACGAACGGCTGCTGCAGTTGCATTAGTTGCTGGTAGGTCGTCGCCGGCTGGTAGACCGGAACGCCGGCCTTGTCCGCGGCGGGTCGCTTGTACGGCATCACGCCGGGGAACGCCTGAGAACAGAGACGAAAGTGACAACTCGATATTACAGAGAATCTGACGAGCGACTGTCAAAAAATAGTAGCTTTCGGATACTCACGAAGTTATCGTAATAGAAGGATCCGACGCTCTTCATGTCCATCTGAAACGAGAAACAAACGGTTGAATGGAGGTCCTCGGGTGTGATAGGGTGGTTGGCCGGCCGGCGACGCGGGGCAGAGGACGGGGGCGGCCCTCGGCCGCGCGTCGCCTGCCTCGCCGGAGGAGGGAAAGGCGCGCGGAGGGATCGTGCGGGCGGGAGTGGGAGTGGAGGTGAAGCGTGCAAAGCTTGCGGCGGTACCGGTGGCGGCTCGAACTCGGTGGGTGCCGGCCGTTTCTTGCCCGGCTCCGAAGTCGCGCTCGCTGCCGGCTGCTGGGCTGCGGCGGCCGTCTACGTGAAGCGAAGCGTCGCAGGACGGGACAGAAACAATAACGATGTAGTAGATGCACAGAATACACCTAAAGCTCTGCATAAGGTGATATTATGCGATAGATAAAAATAAAATAAAAGTGAAGCGTGAGTGCGACGGAAGCGTGGCGCGAGTCGGCCTGCGCGAACTAAACAGAACAAAGCCTGCGAACGAAAGCGGCGTCGCGACGAGCGAGAACAAGCGGAAGAAGAGAAGCGAGCGCGAGCGAGCGAGGCGAGAGCGTGCAGCCTGGTGGCGTACCGCGCCGCGCGCCTGCGCCTTAAGGTGCGCCTGCAGGTGCAGGGGAGGGTGGAAATAGCGGCAGGGGTCGCGGACGCAGCGGCCCTTGACGGCGTCCATGCACACCGTGACACAGCCGTCGTCGTGCGCCGCGACGGGCGGCGGCGGGTGCGCGAAGCGACACTCGGACTCGGCACGCTTGCACGCGCCGCGCTGGAACTCCCGGCACACCTGCACCACCACACACCAGCCATGTCCGTCGCTCGCGACCCGCGCTCTACAGCCCACATAGCCCACTGCTCGTCTAGCCCGACGTTACGAAAAACGACTGTACGCGCCTAATTTACGGTTCGCGTTATAAATGTTTGAATTTGATAACTTTCAATCAAACGTAAGTACTTCCGCGATATCATAGTGCAAAGGTTAAAGTAAGGTTAAGTAATCCTGACCTGAATATATGATTTTATTTAAAAAGTGAAAGTTAATTTCTGAATTATTTGCGGTTTCCCGACCCGACGCCGCTTTAGTGCCTTTACCGAATACACCGAATACGCATCCGTCGCAATGTTTCATTATTTATATTAGGTCAATTTAGATTAGTATTAAAAAATTAGATGTACAATTTTTCTTACATACGAACTATAGTTCTGAACTCGATCAAATTTGATTAACCAAGCATTTGGCACTACTACACTGTAGGCGCAAATTTAAATAATTTAGTTATTTGGTTCGTAGACGTCAATGTTTTGGCGAATAAACTGTAGCGCCAACAGTGCAGCTCTTTCACCAAACGTAAGCGAGTGCTGTTCGCGAAGCGCTCGCGCTGACGCACTGGGCTAGTGCACCCGCGCACCACAGACACATGGGGACGGGCATAGGCTCACTGGCCGTTATCTGACAGCGGGGACCGACAGTGTTTGGTGTTGTAAAAATAAATATGGAATGCGGTCGAGACAGTCGGTCCCCGGTGTGAGTGGCAACATCGGGAAGCACTACTGAGGTATGATCGAGAGACGTTGGGATACACAGAAATAGGTCTCACCTCGAGACGATCGGTACGAGGGAGCTTCTGTTGCAGCACTGGTTGCTGCATGACGCCAAGCGGCGACGCAGCGGCTGCGGCAGGGTCATGCCCTAGCATGGCAGGCACCAGCTGCGGTGTGTAGTACTGCGCATACGTCGAACCCACTCCAGGCACTGATGACAAGTACGGGGAAGTTGCCTGTTCCACAAACAACAATAGACAATTAATTCCCAAAACTGTATCGGTGTGCATCTGTTGTACTGATAACAAAATAATACTGATAATTATAATTAAGCTCTTCACACCAACCCCAACTAATTTGTATGAACTAAAATCCCATATTTCCACAAGCATTACCTTTAGCAAGCGCACCAAAATTACAAGATACTCGTACATAAGCTGTACTGAAAATACATCTATGTATATAAGATCAATATTTCGATTAAAATTTATATAGTGAGTTATATTGTTAGCCAAACAAGCTTACACATGCATTAATAGAGAACGAATTGAAAAATTAAATAAGCATACAGTGTTCAATTAAGCAACCCACCGACCACCAGAAGATTAGGGACGAGGACGGGTCAGGAAGAGGAGTAGTCGTAGATCCGAATCGTCGAAAGTTTACATCTGGACGCAATGCTAAATTGAAATGAAGAGTGTGAATAAAAGGAAGAGGATTAAGGTGACCGGTAGTGCGATGCAATCGTCGACGGTGGCGAGTTACCTGCGGGGCGAGCAGAGCAAGAGAGATCGGGTCCAGCGCGGCGAGATGACTCGCGGCCGCGCCCGTGCCGCTCACACCGCCCACCTCGACACAAAACCACACAAACACGCTACTCATCGTGCGTAGGCAGGACTGCGCTTGTGCGCGCGTCCCTTGTGCCTCGACGTCTTTCCGCGCACGACTTCGCCACTGGACTCTACTAGTGACAGAAGCACAGCCACTATGTTAACGCTATCTTAAAGCTATTGACATAGATATAGCGCGAGTGGTGCGAAGAGGGACGCCGAGGAGTATCGGGTCGCGACGTTAGCGACTGTGTGAATAGTAAGGGGGGATAATATACCGGTGATTATGCATTACCGCTTATACCCAGATCATTCAATGTGAGTAAGTTTGGAGAGAGTCATGCCACTTAAGGAACAAATCGTACAAACATGCTCAAGCTGTGAGGAGCGATCGGCCACCAGCGGTGAGGTTTAAGTTGCGCCAACAAGAATTATATGCTATCTATACCAATTAATATAATCGTTACATAATGCAAATCTTCATTAAAACTTAAATGCACAGAGGAATTTTGTAGTTTTAAGATTAGATTCGAATAAGAAATTTAAAATAATTGATTATGTCTTTAACACAATATAATAAAGTTTTTATGTAAATACAAGTAAAAAATCCGTCAGTCAGTAGATGTTTTATTCCTACTAAACCTGATAAGGTTTAATTTTTTTAGATTTAAAATTTTTAGAGGCACAACTTAAACGCAATACTTTTATAAACTACGTGTTTTAATAAGAACGCTTATAAAATACAAGGTAGCAAGTACACCGAAAGCTGCGTATTGCGTGCATAGAATACCTACGTGTTGAGGACCGATCGCTCAAAGCATTTTAATAAGTACACGTAAATATTGACTTTACTCACCACGGCGGGCACCTGGCCAGGGAGCACCTGGCCAGGCGTGAGACCCATTTGCTGCATTAATGCGTTCTTGAGTGCTAGATGATTTCTACCGTTGATCAGCAGCTGATCCTTAAGATGCTGCGGTGGATGAAAATATTTGCAAGGTGGTTTCTCTCGGTTACACCGACCCTGAAATTGAGAAATGTTACACTGTCAGAGATGTTTTAGAATACTAAGCTGCAGATAAAAGACTTTCTCAGTATTGTAATGGCATAATAACGCACGCAACCTCCAATGTGTGAAAGGATGTTATAAAAGACTCGATCCTCAGCCTATAATACAAAATATAGTTGCGCAAGAGTAGGAAATAATACATATATCGAAATATACATTTATTCTGTTTATATGACGTCGAGTGATTCGCTGGATATACCTTTTACGTACGCACAGAAACCAGAGCTCAGCAGTGAGATGGCATCAGTTTAGACATATGTGTGAGGGTAAATACAATTAAAAATCAAAATTCCTTACAGGGATATTTCCTGGATCTCACTTATAGTCCCCGAGTCGGAATTTATTATAATATCGTTCATAATTTCCTCTCGGAACTGCAGTTGACGTTGACTAGGCTTCTTAAAACAATTACCTTATCCAAAATACAAAAAGACTTTTATAAGATGGATATTAGTGAATTAAGCATTTATTTGTTTAAACATATTATACAGCATGGTTCATAGATACTTGAAGCCTATTACTGTTGTAAGGTTACTTGTACACATGTACGTGTTAATATTAAAATATTTGTGGTATGACATATTATTTCAGTAGTTTAATTTAGGGCTGTGTAAGTATATTATAGTATATTATAGTTAGTTATTAGTACATTATAATATATACAAAGGAATGTCGTTATTAAGGGATTTGTTTGTTCTTGTTACGTGTCTATTTATATTGTATATATTTTGGTAACTAAAAGACAACATTTTCTATGTCACAAGGAAAACGAAAGAGATAAGAGCTAAGTGCTTCAGGTGAGCGACACTTCTGGGATTTTCAGAATAGGCGAAAATGGCGGACCTCATTCGATATCATTCCGATAAGCAATATGTGTCGGGAGGCAGCGACCGCGGTTTCGGCTCAATATCGGGAGAATGTGCGGAAATCCCTCCATGCATCACAATTGCGGTGAGCCGGGCACGTAGCCACCAGAAATCCTCCACTCGATTTTTCCTTATAACTGCGTCTTGAGTGTCAAATATTTCTGAGGCGTGTCGGGGTGGTATGGGCTTTGCTCTGCTCATTTTCGACGCCAATGAGGCGCGAGATAATTGCCTTTCGGAATCGAAGCCACCGCACCCATCTATGATGATTTATTTACATCCGCGTAATTAACTGTCGCACTACGTGACGGGAAGAGCCTCGCGGACGTTTTATCGTTGTACGCCGAACCTTCAGAGCAATATTTTATTCAGTGAAAAAACGGAAAAGCGCTTATCGCAGTTTCAAAGAAATACGTATACAAACAAACGCCATCTGAATATTCAGTACTCTACTCGGGGGACTCGCTTACTGATAATGTCCGCGAAACGGGTGATTTATCGAGTAACTTTTCTAAAGTACATCCGATAGATATCACGGCACGACAATAGTTTTTGTTAAAATGTTTAAAGAAGACGGTGGAATATAAAACATTCTAATTCTATAGTAAAGTGTGAATATTTTAAGCTATATCTAATGTAAACATGTATTAAATTTTCTTAGTTGTGGAACTTGTGTTATGCATGGTACAATAAACTAGTAAAAGCAGCCAGCTGCATTTCGATCAACTTGTAACTAGCAGGCATAATGTCAGTTGGGCGGCATCTTCTAGTTTAAGCTTGGGATAAAGTTATTATTTCCTGTTTCTCTACAACGTTTACTTGAGTTTCGATTCCTACTAAACCGTTTGTGAAACTTGAATGGGTGATCACGTTTTCATCATAACTATGATAACTTGGCCGGGTCTATCAAACTTGGATTTATTGGCTGGAATAGATTTGACTATTATTAACTTTGTACTTTGAAATGCCTTGCTATTATTTCATAATGACATGAAATTAACATAGGAATAAAGGTTAAATATTATAGACATTATGTTTTAAATGACATTTTGATTAACAATTTAAGCGCGTTTTTTTCTGTTTATTCTGGCAGTGGTTGTGTAATATATATAATGAAATCGTGTCATAACAAAACTCTTACAAAATGGCTTCGACCGACACTTATGAAATTTTGTGTGAATATTCAGTAGATATGATAATAGGCCGTAAACTATTTTTCATAATTGGAGAACCGTAGTCTACCACAATTGTTTTATTTATTTTTTAGACAATTTTTTATATTATAACTTCTATATAATTCGGTTTTAAAAATACATATAATACAACTCTAAATTTACACCATTCTATTATTAACCCCTTCTTTCTATTTGAGTACCAAAATATTCTTTAACAGTTATAAATCATATTATATTCTTTAAAAAAATTTATAGCTTTAGTGGAATGATATTTTGCATTATTCGTATTTGTAATGCTATACTAGAGCAGGTCTATAGAAGTGGTTCGTTACGTGCAGGTATATCGTTGCAGCGATTAGCGTGACGAATGCCTGCGTCGATACAAATGGCCGTGTCACCTGAGACGGATGGCCTGGTCTCGCCGCACTAGCCCCCGTAACACACACGCACACACATTCATTGCTATCCAATCGTTTGCATTTAGGTAACGTAATTTCGTATTGAGCAACACTTATTATTTTATGATTAATACTTATTATTTTAAAAATGTTTCTTAATTGATGCGACAACATAATGTATATGAGACAATATAATAATTTGAGATCAATGTTCAGATAATTTGCTAGATATTCCTGTTAAACCATGTGGATTAATATGAAATCTTTCAATATACCCTATTTGTCCGAAAGCGGCTAGGGAGAGCCGCTCGGGAGCAGGGTGGGCAATAACCGCCCAAAACTAATAACATTTTTGTGTGATAGTGGAGAAGCAAACCGAGCGCGTTTCCCTCGCCATGTCCTTTATGACACAACAATGCGCACTTGCAATACAATAAGGGGCAGCCGAGAGTCAGTTTCATCATTGCTTTCCTTCCTGGAGATAACGATTACTTGAAAGAGATGATAATACATGTAAGTTTGAGGGGTCGAAGGGTTGCATTCTCGATAGGTATTAATGAGTTGATATGGTACTTGGCCCAGTCGTTGTTTAACGGAAACAAAATTGATACAAGGAATGAAAGTATTTAAATTGTTAAGACAAGTTCTACAAGTCCGCAGAATATACCTTGAAACTACAATGTTAATATATATATACAATAACTATAAGAACTATTTTCTCCACATTGTCGTCTGACTTATCTATGCACGCGCCAGTAATTCTGTTAGATGCTATCTGCTAATGGTTTTCGCAAAATTGACCAAACATATTGACCAACCTACCTATAAATATTTAGTAGTTTTTATTTCTTTCTTATGTGAAAAATCACATTTCCATAACATTTAACGATCTTGATTTGATTACAATATTGTTCAGTAGAACGAATAATTAGCCAAAGTACTAAAATGAATATTACTTGAAATTAATAATATATAAATTTTATTTCAAATAATATATAAAGTGAAAGCTAAAATAAGACATTCATTGATAAATTCAATCAATGAGTGCAGACACAGTTACATTATTTCATTACAAACCTGAGCCAAATAAGATGTATAAAATGCGTGCTCGTTAATCGATCAGAACAATCGATCACGACTGATTGATTGGCGACACGCTGTCGGTGGAGCGCGGTCAGCCGTACGCGCACGCGGTCCTACGCTCATCTGGTTTACTATTGGCTGAGTGGGCAAATGTCGCGACAAATCGACACACGAGGAAAACAATGAGATAACGAGCCGATGAATGACATGCTCCCGTCACGAAGTCGTTCGGAACTCAACTTGTACGCACGAAAGCGGCTGCCAAAAATATTTGTTAAACAGGGACAGACGGAAATAGAAGCGGCCAGTGTAACGTGCCAACTCCTGCAGCAAGTAGGCACTCGTGGCACGTGGCCCGCACACGCAGCTGGACGCTCACCTTTTCATACTTGTAATAGCATTAAAATAACAAGGATTTGTTTTGAGGATACAAAATTCATTATAATTAAATATCTTTCTAAAAGGTCAATATCATTTAGAGTATGCAATACTATTATTGCAATTTCCCAAATCAGAAAGTGTTGTTGGTCAGAACGTCTGGAAGGTCTATATTTAAACGATGCCTTAAAGACAGACAATTACTTTTTGAAATTATAGTACGTCCGATGACGTTTTTATTCATGTATGGTGGTATTCTAATTACCGGTCAGGATTATTATATAAAAATTATAAGGAATGTATGAAAGCATTGTATGAATCTGCGATAGAAAAAATTAACAACTCAAGGTTTTGAAGTATTATAAAATCTATAAGCTTGTATGCCATCTATAGGGTAAAAATGGTGCTAGATTTCTTGTCAAGAATTTGACATTTATAACATTTTGCGAAAGTCAATAAAATAAATTTAATTATATAGATAGTTCATTTTCAAAAATTATATTTCACCCAGATTTTTAGTTATTATATGAAAAAAATATGATATTATACGTAAAATAAAGTACATCTAAATGGAATGATAGCTAAAATAAAAAAGTACCAGAAGCAGGTATCGCGGTATAAGATCCGGTCCCGGATGCCACAAATATTTTTTCCCGGCAGTCAAAGAGAGGAAAAGGTGAAATCTAATTTGCGAAATTTTGTGGTTGGAAAGGGAATTAGGTAAGCAAAGTCAATTCTGAAAGTAAGTAGAATTTGAATTTAAAATGATTTATAGAGGCGCAGGGGAGTGGCTAATGAGCCGTCATGCGAGAGGGGCGCGTGTTTACGCCTCGTGCTCGCCGCGTATTTTTTATTGCGGCCTCTGGGCGGCGCCGCTGCTGAACGAAACCGCGCTTTGCTCTACGTACACACCGTCCACGTAACGATGAACACGCCTACACAGCTCAACACACAAAATATTAAGAAAAAGCAAAACATCTTAGATGTCGTAGTTACAATAGTATAATCAAGATATGTATGAAGACAAAGTATACATATAAATTGAAATGACTACT